TGCGTCTCATGCCCTGTGGAATGTCACTATTCTTGTCTTGAGTGGGAGGAGTGCTACCGTATGGGAGGGATGTCCGGAGTACTATATATACATTTTTCAATGTATCTTCTTCTGGGGAGATATATATGTAGGTATGAGTGCCCGATGGCGGTTCAATCTGATACGAAAGTAAGGCAAGGTATGGAACATATAGCAAGGATATGAGATGTATCTGTCTCCCTGCAGGAGAGATGCGTGGCTTGCTTAACCTGACCCCCTAACTCATGTTGTGGTCATCAAGACTAATGTTTGGAATTCATTCCCTTGATTCCCATCCATGGGACAAGAGTTGGTTTCCGCATTTCATTACCTGTGGTAGCTTACGGGTAATCAGGGCACTAGTGGTAAGTATTCGGTACCTCGTCTCTCTTGGTATGGCGGGAACGATTCGGAGGTAATCTTATCTTCCCCCTGACTATCCAGATGCTGCGTTACCCAGTAAAACGTCAATAGATTACTAGAGGACACCTGCTGGGCACACATCCCATGGGTAACGGTCCTCGTAATACCCTGATGGAGAACAGTATGATTATACATACGCACTGGACTGCGTACAATACATACATCCTCTAAATGATTAGGGATGTCACTTGAATATGGTCGAAACGGTGTACTGAAAGAGACAGGACCTGAATTGAAGCTCACGAACACCTTTCAGTCAAGAGTCGGCGGAGCATTCTAGTGGTGGTGTGGATGATATTGCATTGTCAATTGGGCATTAATCTGTTTTCTTTTCTTTTCTTTCTTTTTTTTTTTTACTCTATAAATAATATGTTTATGATACCGTCACCATCAATGAGTATTGGGAGGTATTGGGAAATTGGTATACTTGGATCAGGGTGAAGCGGGATCCATGGATGAGCTTTGGATCTGAGAATTGAAATGGAATGGTTCTACAAGGGGATTGTTTTAGGGATCTGGCCATCATCTGGTAGGTACAGCTTTACCTGTATCCCTCTATCTATGTTGTTAGTCGGGCGTAGTATATTTGCATTGGAAAATCCACTTTATTTTATTTTGTTTCATTGTATTGTATTTTTCTTTGGGCTCTCCGTCTCCCTTTGAGATCGCCGCCTTATATGTTTGACATGTCGGATTGGAATGGATGATTGTAAGAATGCAATGCTTGGCTTGTAGGAAAAGGGTGTCAGGGAAAAATATCCTCAATCATATGAATTGGTTCTGAATATATAATTTTTTTTCTTCTTTTCATGAAATTCCTAAGTAGATTGTCATTGACTCTCCGCGGTGGTGGTTCAATTGGAGGAGTGAAATTAAAACAAGATCAACCAAAATTGATGTTGTTCTGAGCGGACTAATCCCTAGGAAGCGTTAGCTCCCCAAGTTGAATGAAGACAAGAGCCCCCTTTCTTTTACACCACCAACGGACTGACTCTCCACCCCAAATCACTCCGCAGGTCCAATCGTTCTCGCCTTCTCCTGTCTTCTCTCTACGCTCTTCTGTTCTCTCTTTCAGCTTCCTTTGAGTTTTTTTCTTTTCGATTCTTCTGTTTGTATTTTTTTTTTTAAACCTTACATCTCGTGCACACTCCCCGTTTCCCCCAAGACTCGGTGATCTTTGAGAGCTTTTTGTCCCCTGATTGTTGAACCATCTGATCCTCTCACCCTTTTTCAGGTGTTCGGGATTCCAAAGGTACGGTGGCACTTACCTGCGCTCCTTCCCCCAATTCTTCAACCCCCTCCCCTCTAAAAAACCACTTCCCCCTCCCCTCCCTTGGAAAGAAGAGCCTGGTTCCAGATGCTTTCCTGATCTATTACCAACCCCTCGCCTGAATTTCCGTCTCTGCAAGGGTATTGTCTGCTAACCAAGAAGGTGCGACCTGCTCAGGGGAACTTATCAACGCTCGCTATCTCGACATTTTTTTTCCAACCGTCCACGCTCGCTTCCTGAACCAGTCCCTTAACATTCATAATGGGTAAGCTTATCGCTACCAGCGACATCCCACTTCACCGGTCTTGCTTTCTTCCCATTCTTTCACCTGGCGGACAATCCTTCATTCGTGTACCTCCGAAGCTCTTGCGCGTGGGGACAACATCATGGCACATGCCAGACGCCGGAGTGCAGAGGGTCGCTCGCAAGTAGACTCTCAACGATTCAGTGCTTCTCCGTCGTTGAAACACCATAGATCCAAAAGCCATACGTCGTGTTCGCCAACTCGGGGAACTTTGCCTACCGGAACTCAATCCGATATTACGCCAGTTACTGACTTGACTTTACCTGTTGTAGCTTCACCACCCCCCACCAACGGCTCCGCCACCCCGGCCGTGGAGTCTCCTGAGAGCAGCAAGCCCAGCTCCCCCTTTGTTGAGCGCAGCAACCCCATGGGGTCAGGAAACGCACAAACGGTCAGCTCCAGCGACCCGAAGGCTGTGGCCCAGGCTGCCACCGACATGAAGAACGTGGTTCGCCGCAAGTTGACTGGCTACGTCGGTTTTGCCAACCTTCCCAACCAATGGCACCGCAAAAGTGTTCGCAAGGGATTCAACTTCAACGTGATGGTTGTCGGTGAGTGCCCCTGACGAAAGGATAATGGATGGGCGTGACTGATATGTGTTTTAGGTGAATCTGGTCTCGGAAAGTCGACTCTTGTGAACACTCTCTTCAACACTTCTCTCTACCCCCCCAAGGAGCGCACCGGCCCCAGCCACGACATCATCCCCAAGACTGTGGCCATCCAGTCGATCAGTGCAGACATTGAAGAGAACGGTGTTCGTCTTCGCCTCACCGTGGTTGACACTCCCGGATTCGGTGATTTCGTGAACAACGACGATTCGTGGCGCCCGATTGTAGAGAACATTGAGCAGAGATACGATGCCTACTTGGAAGCTGAGAACAAGGTCAACCGTACTAACATTGTTGACAACCGTATCCACGCCTGTGTCTACTTCATCCAGCCCACCGGCCACTCCCTTAAGCCTTTGGATATTGAGGTCATGCGCCGGTTGCACACCAAGGTCAACCTGATCCCTGTGATCGCCAAGGCCGATACATTGACGGACGAGGAGATTGCTCAGTTTAAGCAGAGAGTATGTCATCTGTCTCGAATGAGTTGGTCCTGAACCTATGCTAATTTTGGTCTAGATCCTTGCCGATATCCAACACCACTCTATCAAGATCTTCGAGGGCCCTCGCTACGAACTCGACGACGAAGAAACCATCGCCGAGAACCAGGAGATCATGTCGAAGGTCCCCTTCGCTGTGGTCGGTGCCAACGCTGAGGTTGCCACCGCTGACGGGCGCAAGGTCCGGGGCCGTAGCTACCCATGGGGTACCATCGAGGTCGACAACGAGGAACACTGTGACTTCGTCAAGCTGCGCCAGATGTTGATCCGCACCCACATGGAAGAGCTCAAGGAACACACCAACAACTTCCTGTACGAGGACTACCGCTCCGACAAGCTGACCCAGATGGGTGTCGCTCAGGACCCGAGCGTGTTCAAGGAAGTCAACCCAGCCGTGAAGCAGGAGGAGGAGCGTGCTCTACACGAGCAGAAGCTTGCCAAGATGGAGGCAGAGATGAAGATGGTCTTCCAACAGAAGGTGGCCGAGAAAGAGAGCAAGCTGAAACAGAGCGAAGACGAACTATACGCTCGACATCGCGAGATGAAGGATCAACTGGAGCGGCAACGCCAGGAACTGGACGAGAAGAAGAGTCGCCTCGAAAGTGGTCGACCGATCGAAGAGAAGGGCAAGCGAAAGGGCTTCTCTCTTCGTTAGATAGCTGGAATTCAATGACACGGACTCCCCCGGTGATGTATGGTCGTTGGAGGCACGTTGGCGGTTCTGTGTTGGATTCCCCACGACTGTTGATTGACCGAGCGCTCTTTTCGCCTGCCCTTCTATTGCTGTGTTTATTCGATTTCCACGCTCTCTCAACCTCTACTTTCTCGTATCTGCTGCCAGTAATGACTCTGTTATCTAATTGGGTGCACCGAGGCAGCGGAATGACTCGGTTGTGTTTCATTCCGTCTGTCGGACGAACTCCAGTTGGGGCCTTTGACTAGGAGAAATGTGCTGGGACACCGGAGCAGCGCTGCCGGCCTGCTCGTGTGGTCCGGCCCATGGTTTTGCAAGATGATATGCGGTGGCCCTCACGTCCTCTTTTCGCTTCTTGTTAATGTACTTTTGCCTACGCTATACCTTGTTCTCTCCTGTTTCTTATTCCCCAGTGTGGCCTAAACCTCATTTTCCCTTCTTATCTTCGTGCACTTTTGTCCACTTCTACACATTTTAGTGAGCTCTCCCACCCTCCGACCATCATTCAAGATGCTTTTCCTATTTTTCTATCTCTTACTTATTGCAGTTTATTGTGCGTTAGTTGTCAATCTCAGATGTTCTTGAAAAGTCCGACCAGGCTACAAAGCGACGGGGAGGGTCTGTTTCTGTAGAGGACGACGGGGAGGACGTCCCTGGTAGAAAATCACTACAAGAACAAAACCAAAGAAAAACGAACTACAATCAAAGACGTAAAAGTTTAAAAAGAAAGAGAAATATACATAAACAAATGCAGTAGGGCAAGACAAGAATGAAATCTGGAAGAAATTCAATTCGAATTGCAGGATGAAATAACCTTAGCGTTGCTTCACCGGCCACTTGCATCATGCCGAGTCAATCCGTGAGTGTTTGTCAACGTCACTGGACAAGGTTTGGTCTGCCTCAGGTTCTCAGTCAGCTACGACGACTCCCGGAGCCTGTTAAAGGTACTCACTGCTCTGTGTCGTCCGCCCAGCAGCTTCTTCTCTCCTTCCCGATTTCCGTACTAAAGAATACCTTAGTCCAACGAAAAGGGCATCGTCAAAACCCACCCACTACGACCGCCCCCCGCCCAGCCTCCCCAAAATAGTGCAGGTCCGCAGGCCTCCACCGCTCAATTCGCTCCCCTTCCAGCTTTTCTCGACCCTTCTCTGCTCTCACGTCACAGCCACTTAGCGCATTGCTATCTCTCCGCTCTCGCTCTCGCTCTCTGAGGCCTTCCTTCTCACTATCTTTACGCACTTCCCTCGTTCCCGAGTAGACCACACCTTTTCAGCTCTCATGGCTCCACCTCCCCCATCGAACTTGCCTTTGGCCGAGAGGCTGAAGGCCCTGGCTCAGACGCTACAGTATGTGCTTCGCTGGCCTTTCCCGAGCTCGCAATGTGGATACTGACCGTATGACTCTCAAATAGGTTCGCGTGGTTTGCTGGGTAGGCTTCCCTTGTGATTGTGTGCTGCCTCGGCCGGCGGCACACGGTACCCGTTTGGAGCAATTTGCGACATCCGTACACCAGATGCTGCCCTTATCGGATGACATTCGCAAGTCCAGGATGGGAGAAAACAGATCCGCTGACTGGCTTTAGGCACGTCACACTGCTGCTCTCCGTCTTCCGCTACCTCCTGTCCTACATCACCTTCAACTACTACTCGTCCTCGGCCCAGGTGTCCTACCGCTTGGCTTTCCTTTCGGCTGCTGCAACATACGGTATCGTGGTGTACAAAGGACACATCGCCCGTGGTCGTCTTCAGGGTAGCGTTCCGAACATTGTGGTGAAGCTCGCTGGTGATGAAAATGTCCAGTATCTTGGTGAGTAGAACCGCCTGGCGGTCTGACCAAACCGGCATGGGCTAACCAAACCACCAGGAATGGCGATTGTCTGGCTCTATTCCCGCCAGGTCCCATTGGCCCTCCTACCCTTCAGCGTCTACTCGATCTTCCACGTTGCGACGTACTCTCGGGCCCACCTGATCCCTACCTTGCAGCCTCCCGCCCAGGGCGCCGCCGGATCTGGGTCGCCCTCTTCTCCTGGTGCTGCCAAGCCTGCTGCCAGTCCTCTGGCAGAGACCATTGGAAGATTCGTCAAGCAGTACTATGATGCCAGCATGGATCTCGTGGCTGGGCTCGAGATGGCGCTGCTGTTCCGCCTGGCCTTGGGAGTTCTGACTTTCTCCAAGGGAAGCATCCTTCTCTTCATTATCTACGTAGCCTTCTTCCGCGCGAGATACACCCAGAGCTCGTTCGTCCAGCAGGCCGTGCGCCACTTCACCGCCCGCGTGGATGCTTCGGTTTCCCACCAGAGCACCCCCCCTGCGGTGCGCCAGGGATGGGAGACCTTCAAGGGTGTTGTTCGCCAGGCGTATGAGAGCACCGACCTGGGCCGTCTGACTTCCGGAGCTCCGGGCAAGAAGCCGCAATAAATGGCACCTCTGGCGATGAACGATGACCGCCCGGGACGCGTGGGAAAGGCCCAATCCGATTGCGACGCATTTTAGCCGGACTTAGACCATTCGCGCAGGGCCCGGGATCACAGATTGACGTGTGGGCTCTCGTTTGTAAAGTGATGAGCATATAACGAATAATGTGCCATTGGTACTAACCCGGTTTGGGTTGGGAAGTGGTTCTTCTTACGATAAGCAAAAGATTGTTTACATGCTGTTGCGGGAGAGGATGTGGATGAGGATGTTTAGTGCTTGGGGGAGAGGGGAGTCATATTATAATCTTGTATTGCCATTAAGTCATGCACATGCTGGACCTCCGATGGGATGTTTTGCCCAGACGGATTTCATTGCATTCTGTATTTGCGCGAAATTATTACTGTGAGGGGAAATGAGCACTTGTTTGTTGTTGAGGCATATTGTTGTGTCCTATAAGTCTAGACCGACGACCACGTTCTTGTTCGGTAGTAGTCTAGTTTGGTGGATTCTTGTGGCAATTGAAGGGACTGAGTTGTTTTTTCGGTCCATTGCCATTTGTTCCTTCGGACCCGAATTAAACTAGCGAGAGCTTATTAAGGCGGCGTGGTGTGCCTGAGGTGGAGAGTCGGCCTCGGACGCGGAGAAAGCGGAAAACCGACCAAAATTTTGGGCTGAGCGTTGACCCATCGTTTCTGTGAACTACCGACTGGGAGAGGTGCCATGTTTCATTTCTTAACCTCTCGACTTTCCTTTATTTCTGTATAGTTTAGATCTCCTTCGATCCCTCTTCTCCTCTTCCTTCTTTCCCACCGTCATCCTTCATTGGGGTGGCATCCATCCGGTAAACGTCGCCGCCGCATCCCAACCCCCCGTGGTCTGGCCCGCACCACGATCTGGTGGGTTGCGGTATTCTTGCCATGAGCTTGACCTCGCGCGTGTTTGGCCTGTTTTCCACGACAGAGACAACCGCTCTGGACTCTCCTCCGACCGCTTCGTATTCGAACACCTCCAGCACCGGCGACCATGTCTTCCATGCGACGGGCCCGATAAGGGCAGGCTCCAGCCATGTACAAACTACACCACTCGAGGACGAGGAAGAGCCTCGTCCGCCATATCTCCATGTACGTTGTGCTATCTGCCGGACGAGCAATACGGATGGTGATGTGAATGCGCAGGGTGTGCGCAGAAATCTTCTATCTCAAACTGACATGAATCTTTTCCCGTAGGCCATGCTTGCCGGAGGTACCGGTGGGACATGCGGCGATATGCTCATGCATTCTCTCGATACGGTGAAGACGAGACAGCAAGGCGACCCCCATTTCCCTCCCAAATATGCCTCGATGACCTCTTCGTATGCGACGATCTATCGACAGGAAGGTATCCTACGAGGCCTCTATGGGGGTGCGGTTCCGGCATTTTTCGGCTCCTTTCCCGGCACTCTGATCTTCTTTGGTGTGTATGAGTTCACCAAGCGACGGATGATCGACGCTGGCATCAATGCCAATGTGGCATACCTGTCTGGAGGTAAGAGCGTTGTCCGGTTTCTGTCAGGATTCGGTGGCGCTGACGCATCGCTCAGGTTTCTTTGCGGACTTGGCCGCTTCCGTTGTTTATGTCCCTTCAGAGGTCTTGAAAACGCGACTGCAACTCCAGGGACGCTATAACAACCCCTATTTCAATTCGGGATATAACTACCGCTCTACTCGCGATGCTCTCCGTACGATCGTCCGCCAGGAAGGATTCTCCGCGCTCTTCCATGGATACAGGGCTACCATCTACCGTGATCTGCCATTTTCCGCCCTGCAATTCGCATTCTACGAACAGGAACAGCGTTTGGCGAAGGAATGGGTGGGATCCCGCGACATTGGACTTGGATTAGAGATCCTGACTGCGGCAACCGCCGGTGGAATGGCGGGTGTGATAACGTGCCCCATGGATGTGGTGAAGACCCGCATCCAGACCCAGCAGAACCCCGATATCCAGAGCTCTGCGTCTTCGTCGAAACCTGCTGCGGAACATGCGTCGATCAAAGAGAGCCCTCGACAGCATACATCGTCTCAGACTACGTCGAGTCTGCGCACGCACTCACGGCCGATCTCCACGGGGGGTGCATCGACGTCAGTAGCCCCGCCGGGAGCGCCTCGCCTGGACACCTCCTCTTTCTTGACGGGTCTCAAGATGATCTACCAGAGGGAGGGGCTTGGCGGCTGGTTCCGCGGCGTCGGACCTCGTGGAGTGTGGACTAGCATCCAGAGTGGAACGATGCTGGTCATGTACCAATACTTGTTAAAACAGCTGGAGTCCTACGACATACTGGGGGAGATGAATCCTCTGTGATCGAACGGGCTTTATTGCATGGCACGATGGGGATGTAGTGTTGCCACGGGGCGACACTTGTAGATAATGTTGAATCATCACCACATGGGACACGATGTGGGTAGGGCGTTCTGGGACGAGGCTGTTGCATGATCTCTCACTTCTTCTATTACCACCCATTTGCTTGGATCGGTCTGGAGCATGGCAGCATTTTTCCTTTGGGGTTTGTCCTTGCCGTTTGTTCTTGGTTTTAGACCTCCTGCTCCAGACGGGTGTGGCTTGCATAGATTTGTATTTCCCCTTTCCCTTTTTTTATGTTATTTAGACATGGTTAATCATGCCACGATGTATATTATTATATAAAGTATAGAGTCAAAGAAGCACTGAACTGAGGGCCAAGTTGTCTTCTCCAAAATGAGGGTTATTTTCGGTCAGGTGGAAATGTAAACAAACGGATGCGGTCAAGCGCCCCCCGACGGGCCAATCAGCGGGCGTCGGGGAGGACTGTGACCTCACTGGTGATTTGTTGCATTTGCTTTTATTATTTATTGTGATTGTTTTTCCCTCTCTTGTTCGTTTTGGTTTTCGAATCCTTTTGGTCCCCCGAAATCCTGCGCGCGCACTTTATCATCATCCCACCCTTCTCCCCCTTGCTCATAAAGTCACCACCTCCCCCCCGTCGCATGGTCCCTTACCCCCGCGCATCATGTCTGCCGCATTGCCTTATTTACAGAAGCTGCGCAAGTCCCAACTGACGGACTGGGCGGAAGCCACTGATCTTCACGAGTAAGTCTGGTGCCGTTGTTTATCGCCCCACCACGATAACAACCCCGGCTGACCGTTGACAGCTACGAGGAGTACAATAAACCCGAACTCGCCACGCTGCTGGACCAGCATCTCCAGGCCAACCAATCCATCTTCGCCAAGGATGCGCGCCTAACGGATTACTACCGTCGCCTGTCGCAAACCCCGCGCAAGGGGTCGCCGGTCAAGAGAGACCCTAGGGTGGAAATCTCGCCGCCTGTGAAAGAGACTCCGCGGTCGGCGCCACGGTCGGCGCGTCGTAGGCAGATGCGAGTCCTGGAGGAAGAGGTGAAGGAAGAGGAGACGAAGGAGGAACCCAAAGAGGAACCTAAGGCGGAACCCAAGGAGGAGGCTGAGCAACCCCAGTATGTCCTGTAGTCTTTCCGACGTCGCGCGCGCGCATGGTCAGAAGCGCCGTCGCACGCGACCGCAGTAATCATGACGACATGAACTGATCCATTTCTTGTTGCAGAGAGGAATCCGACGCGTCCCCACCACCGGTCTTCCAGACTCCTGGACCGTCGCCGCTCAACTTTCAATCGGCCTTGCCGGCATCGCCGGCCCTCATCGCTGATGCGGTGGACCGGGAGTCCGTCGCGTGGCGCAAGAAGGCGAGCGATTGGTGGGCCGGCTCAGGGGTGCCGGATGGCACGCAGTCACTGCGCTCCTTGCTCAGCAGCGTGAAGGCCGTCCAGATTCTGACATTGCTGCTCGAAGGGTGTTCCATCATTTATGAAGTTCTACCGCTGCGATTTGTGTCCACCATTACGATTTGGGCGATTGAGATCTCCATCAAGGTCCCCGACGTCTTCGTCCTCGTTGACGGCGTCTTCTGGGCCCCGTTCTCGCTGTGGCTGCTGACCAGCATTCTGCTGCCATTGACAGTCGCATACTTCTTCAACATCAGCCTGAACCTCGCGCCAGGCAGTGCTGCGTCTCATGCGCGTCGCAGCCGCGCGTCGCCTGCGAACTTCGATCCGCTCAGCTTCAACATTGCCAAGGCGGGGCTCGCATACCTGGTGTATGCCCGGCAGTTCAACTTCTTCAATCTGTACAGCCAATTTTCGATCGCCCGGGTGAACGCCGCGGTCCCCGGTCAATGGGCTGGCTTGGTGACCGGGTCTGCGATTGGGGTGATCGGCACTCTGTACGAGGCGATCCTGCGGAAGTAAATACGTGGTGTATATACGTGAATGTGTTGTGGCAGAGCCACTGGTTGTAACGCAGTTTGATTGAGTAGGACCTGCTCCGTACAAGAGAAAAGCGTGCGAGTGCCTGTCGGAGGGGGCTGTGAGAAGGGTTTTCTCTCGCCTAGAAGGTCTATTTTCTGGATAATCGTTGGATTCCATGTGTGCAGTGCGATGGTGCTTCGGTCTTGTTCTAATGTTGAGTTATCTTCGGTTTCTCTCCTTTCTCGGGGGTATCTGGCGTGAGAATGGTGTGGCGCGTTGATTGTTATGAATTGATCTGATCTGATCTGATACTTCGCGGGGGCGTTAGCTTAGGTTTCCTGGATGTACTATCGTGAACCCGATATAGGATGTTCCAATACAGATCCTTATTCATCGTACAGTAGCTGTTGGTATCTATCTAGGTATTGTATGCTTCTATAACCCCAACCCCAAACGATACACTATATAAAAAGAAAGACAGAAGACTACCTCGTCCTCTTCAACCTCTCCGCCAACTCCACCGTAAAAAGCACCGGCACCAAGCTCTCCACCGTAACCACCTCGCTCCGAATATGATTACTCGTACTCAACTGCCCCCCAATCTCCGTCCTCCAATCCACCACATCCCACTGGAACCCACTCGTCGTGATCCTCGCCGGCCCCGAGAGCGGTATAATCCCCACATTCTCCTCAAGCAGATCCTCCCCTTGTTCCGCAGGAGATACCCCCGGCCGATTCGTCCCAGGCGTCCGAATGGTACTCACCCCGGGCCGCAGGATAAACGTAATACTCTCCTCGGAGATGAGATACAGATTCCCTATCTTCCCTGTCCCTTCTTGATTGGACGTAGAAGAGCTGTAAGTTTGAGTCATGGAGTAGAGATGATGGATTTGCGAGAAAGCTTGGTCAACGCGGCCGCCCAGTCCGCCGAGGATGAGGACGTCTAGCTCGCTCCCTCTTCCTCCTTGTTCATTCTGTTCTTCTCCTTCTGGTTTCGATACTGAAGATGAAGAGGAAATAAAGTCCCCTACATGCGCACGCAGATAATCCAAACACTTCGTGAAATCCGTCGAATACTGGTCTTCGTCTTCGATAATGCGAACGCCTAGATTGGCGTAGTGGGCTCTTGTGTCGGGGGTTATGGAGTCTAGATCGCCGATAATGAGATCGGGGAGCTATTTCTTTTAATTAGAATATATGCCTATGTCTATATATATATATATAACATCATATCATAAGTGGGAGAAGGAAGGGAAGGAAAGGGGCTTACATCTGTTGATTCTCGGTCGTGCGCTTCCATCATCGAGTAGAAGCGGTTTGCGCCGCCGTCCGCGCAGAGCGTTATCTTTGCTTTTATTTCTTTTCTTTAGTCTTCATGCTGTAATATGCTGGGTTTGGTATATATTGTATCAATATATGGTCCACAACCACATCCATATCTAACACATGTAGAAGATACGTCGAATATATGTACAGTAGAACATACCATGTCTCTTCAAAACGCGAAACGCGCGCTCATTGATTGGCTGGTTGAGGATCAACAGCGCAAAGGGGTTTGGAGTGTGATCATCACGGAAGAACTGGGTGGGATCCCACTCCATTCTGTGTCTTGGATCGTAGTTTAGTTTCGTCCTTGGGGTTATGGTAGAGTCGAGGGGGGTCAATGTAGGGAGGGGCATTAAAATCAGTTGATTTTATCTTATCGGCGATGTGATGGAGAGTGGGGACGTATGTGCCGGTGGACGGCCAATCGGGTGGGGCCGGGGGATTTATGGATTATGGATTATGGATTTATGGATGTATGTACTATGTATAATGTATATCATGTTGGGGAATGTTACTATGGATTTTATGGGCTGGTTTGGGGGTTGAATTTGGGTGTGTACTGGTTGTCGTCTTGTTGGTTAGGATATGGGCTGGACACACTGATACTATACTACTATACTACCAAGAGTATGGGACAAATTGAGAATATATACGCAAAGTCCTCGAAACAATCTGTGACTACAGGAGATATCATGGCTAGATTATCTCTTATTCTATCTAGCAAGAGTATGAAATATTATAAAATATCGAAACATATACTTCAAGAACTCTACTGTACATATTCTAATATAGTCGATGATTGGCCCAGTAGATTTTCATCACAGTATAAGGACGGCCCTCTCAGTTTAAAAGAACCTCCTCGAATGGCATTGTGCATATATGACGAGAATATGAGTTAGACCGTACTATGCCCATGGTTTGTTCCATACCCTTACTGCAAATCCCGCCCACATAAGCAAAACCTGCCAACTTATAGTATACTTGGTCACCACAGCTTTGTCTCAGTACCATGGGTATCCGAAGCTGACAAACGCTAACGATCACCTGATCGTTGTCTTCCACGCTGTGTTCACTGAGGCCAAAGCCGATAAAGGATGCATGATGGATCGTAAAAACCTTGATGCCATATAGTCTCGGCTCCAGGTCTCCCAGGAATTTAAACCCCGCTTCGGCGAAGGTCTCCAGGATTGTGTCAGCATCTTGGTGGATCAAGTCCAATGTCTCGAATACGGTGCGCAACCTTGTCAAGGAAAATTTCGGGTGGTTGATATCAAATACGGCATGGCTGTAGTTCGAAAAAACACCGCATGCTCGAAGGAATCTGTGTGGGATGTTCTCAGGCTCCCAGACATTATCCCACACATGGCGCCCATCGCCGTGTATTTTAATTACCCCCTTCATTTGGGCCAGGACGCTCTTCACGTCGGATGCAAACTGAAACATTGATCTGCATTTTCCAATCAGACGCCCTGATATTCGTAGGACAGAAGGATCTTCCGTGACAGGATCGCACCGTGGCTGCCATACTGGTTGGATATCACCGCAGGGTGAAAGCCTTTTAGAGTAAGAAGCCCATTCATTGGCCGTGGACACCTTAACTGTCGTTGTGAGATCCGGCACCCAAGAAGGAATTGAAACGTTCTCCAGCCGATCCTTCCGCAGGCAGAACCGATCTAGCATAACGATATTTTCGAATCTCTCTTGCAGAAGGTGCTTTGCTGTTTCAAAAATAATTTGGCACAGGGACTTGTTATAATCCGGCGGATATTCCCTCTGCAATGATGGAAGAAGACCATATAAGGCATATATTTTGTCTTTGAGATTTTGACACTTGCGGCTGCTTGTTTCCTCCAGGAGGCTTAGCAACGATATGTCGTCCTTCTCCGAGGTCCACGTATGGCTGGAGATTATAAAATCTCGTCTGGATGCCTCCTCAGACAACTCTTTCCTGTGTGCTTTCATCTCTACGTAGTGGTCTTCTAATCGCATCCGTCTCCCGGTTATAACCTTAGAATGCATCTTAAAAAGTTGGTCTGTTGCTTCGTAGCATGTCCAAAAACGATCGAACTCAGTTTTGGCAGGGAATTCTACATCGCCACATATGCAGATTGGTGGCTTCCTTCGTGACAATCGATATTCTTGAAATGTCCACATTCGCGTCCAGTACTCCGCGAGCCAAAAATGGTGATCAAAATCGAGAATGTTCCTAAGAGAGACAGAAAAGCGCTTTTCATATCGCGCTGATATCCGGCATATAACGCATTTCATCCACCAGCATGCGTCTTTCCATTTCCGACTCTCCACGTCGGACATATCCCGCCACTTCATGGCGTCTGCTGCATTGTCACAGAGGTTATCCAAGCTGATGATTGCGAGTATAGATGTAGCATTGGCATATATTACACTCATCAAGGGAACCTGGCTGTTCTTCTCTGCCACATCGTCTTGATTAATGCAGACAAAGTCGATCCATATAACACGTCGCTTCATGCAGAAGCGGAGTCTTTGCAAGATTCGGCGGACATTCCTTGGGACTGGAATTGTTTGCCCGTCCAGTAGGATATCATTCCTCTCTCGAATGTCACCCCATACATACGAGATGGCCTCGTATTCAGGGAAAGTGTCCAATGATGCAACCCGCAGAGAACATCTCATAGGAGCTTCGGACTTCCAAGCGGGTAAAATCGTCAACAGCCGGATGTCCCTCCTAGCGCAATCGAGAGGATAGCCGTGTAGAAATTCTTCCATTTGGACTGGTTTGAGATCACGGTGCGAATGTGAGGATTGTTTGAAACTCATTAGGAGTCTCTTTCACCCTCAAAAGGAGGTTGACACATCAGTTGCGATCCCACAGCCTTACCGGTGGCGGTGCAGCCAATAGAAGTAGAAGCCGAGGGAGTTCATGTTTGCCTTCTCCTCTGTATGTGTTCCTGAACTACCGGCTACTAGCATGAGTGCTTGTATCTCCACAGAATATCGTCTGGTTTTTACATAGACTGATCCGTGACTTTTCATCACTATGGTCTGCATGTTGCATATATATTCACCTCAAACGATCCACCAACACTCGTCTACCATCCCTATCGCTTTTGAAAACCTTATAAATGTTCTATCTAGATGCTCGTATTCCCTCTTTGTCCACCCCGCATACTTCGGCTGCACGACCAGACTGCCGCGACAAGCTGCGCCGCAACACAGATCGTAAAAGCCACCCCAGCCCCAAGCGATCAACCTCTTCCCACAGTTTGGAGAAATGTTTAGCCACCCATAGTTCGTGATTAGTTTGGCTATAGTGTGAAATGCATCTGGTCCAACAATCTCTGATTTCAGACAATAGCTTTTATCGTTCTACCGAAAATATCCATACGGCTTCAATCAAGCCACAGGCGTGAGCCCTAAACCGTACGCTACGGACTAGTTGGTTTATATCTGCCGATAGAGGTGCTTAGTTGTTTTGGCTCGTTTGCCTGTCGTGTGTCCATTCTAGTAAAATATACTGCTCTGTACAAGGCCTTACTGATCCAACACTTGTGTTTGGAACCTGTAAATCAAAACCCCGAGCATGCGTCTGGATGTCAGCAGGCAAATACTTCAATGTAAATGGGACGCAACGTTGCGGCCGTTGCTCTACATATATTTCTCTAAGCATAGATTCAAAATCAGCACTAAAAATGCAAGGATCGGAAACGGTGTTCGCTGAAATAGGACGATGCTTAGCAGCTTAACGAGATCCAACTCCACGCCCTATGAGAAGTAATCAGAGACCAACACAAAAGAGACCAGAAACACTTACGTACTTCAATTATGTGTACGAGATGATTTCAAAAATTAGACATGGATGTTGCTAGCAAGTCTTCAACGCTCCAACTAGGAATGGAATTAGCCGGCATTAGTATAAACGACTTCCCCGCAGGAATTTATCCGTGACTTGCCCAATGGTGGAGAAACCAAATGAAGGAGGAACATGTAGTCCGCGATGTGAAACAAGACCGAGGAAGAGTTAAAAGTGCCTGGTGGCCATCTTTCCGTATCACGATTACCCTCCATATCTCGAATTTGTGTGGCTAAGACTAGAAATATGCGGTCCCTGGTTTTACTCGGGATGGGCTCCCTTGCTACGGCGACTTCCTTGTGGTCGTCGAAGGCCGCGTCCTGGGACACGACTAACGAGGCATTCGTTCTGGGGAACGGCAAGCTGGGGGGTAGGTCTATTTCTTTAATTTCTAAAAATTCCCTACTAACCCAGACAGTGATGCCGTTCGGAGAGCCGGGGGCGGAAAAGCTCAATCTCAACCACGACGAGCTTTGGGACGGTGGCCCCTTTGAAATCGATGTGAGTTCTGCTGAAGTGTGATGGACAGTATGCGTTCATAACTGAACGTATCAGGGATATCGGGGTGGCAATCCGAATTCTAGTATGACGGCGATCCTATCCGAGATTCGAGACGAGATCTGGAAGACAGGAACCGGCAGTGCGTTTTACTTCAAAATCTCCGTCAACAAATATCTGACTTTTTAGATGATACACGGCTGCACGGAGACACAGACGGCTATGGATCCTTCCATTCATTAGCCAATCTTACCATTGCGATAGATGGAGTTGACAACGTAAGCAACTATACTCGGTCCCTAGATCTCGGCACCGGCATCCATACGACAACCTACTCGACCAGCAAGGGAAAGTATACTACAGACGTCTACTGTAGCTACCCTGCTCAAGTTTGCATCTATAAGCTGAACTCGACAGCGGCTTTGTCTAATGTTACAATCTACTTCGACCAACTTGTCGAGCAAAGCTCACTCTGGAATGCCAGCTGCGACTCGGACTTCGCCCGTCTCCGAGGCGTCACACAGGAAGGACCTCCGCGTGGGATGACATACGATACAATTGCGCGAACCTCTATTCCTGGTAGCTGTGACAGTTCAACCGGAAAGTTGGCCATTAGCGCCAGAAACAGCTCTTCACTGACAATTGTAATTGGCGCCGGAACGGACTTCGACGCTACTAAGGGAACTTCGGCGAGCGGCTACACTTTCAAGGGGGAGGATCCAGCAGAATATGTCGAGGAGATCACATCTGCAGCAATTTCACAGTCAGAATCAAAACTCCGTACCGCTCACATTGAGGACTACAGCCCCTTGATGGATGCTTTTACATTGACTCTGCCGGATACCCAGGACTCCACGGGCACAGAGCTCTCCACACTTATAACCAACTACAACGCCAATAAGACAGCCGGAGACCCTTATTTGGAAAAGCTACTTTTCGATTATGGTCGCCACTTGTTCATCTCATCATCCCGTGAGAACAGTCTTCCTCCCAACCTCCAAGGGGTCTGGAGTCCCACGAAGAATGCAGCCTGGAGCGGCGATTATCATGCAAACATCAACCTGCAAATGAATCTTTGGGGAGCCGAGGCGACAGGGCTAGGCGACTTGTCAATCGCTGTCTTCAATTACATGGAACAGAACTGGATGCCGCGCGGTGCTGAAACCGCTGAGCTGCTATACGGCGGTTCTGGCTGGGTAACTCACGACGAGATGAACATCTTCGGACATACTGGGTGAGTGAGGGCATTTCTTGAAACTTCGCTTCAGAGTACTGATAAACCAGGATGAAAACCTATCAAACCTCAGCGAATTATCCGGCCGCGCCGGCATGGATGATGCAACATGTCTGGGACCGCTACGACTACTCGCGCGACAAGACATGGTTCATTGAGCAGGGTTGGCCATTACTGAAAGGTGTGGCCGAGTTCTGGGTCTCTCAGCTGCAGTTAGATAAGTTCAGCAACGACAGTTCTCTCGTTGTTAACCCGTGTACTTCTCCCGAACAAGGACCGACCACGTTCGGCTGCACCCACTGGCAACAGCTCATTCACCAAGTATATGAGAACGCGATCCAAGGCGCAGAGATCGCTGATGAAGCTGACTCTACCCTTGTAAACGACATCAAGAACCAACTAACCCGCCTCGACAAAGGCCTCCACATTGGCACCTGGGGCCAAATCAAGGAATGGAAGCTGCCCGACAGCTACGACTACGAAAAAGAGGGCAACGAGCATCGCCATCTCTCTCATCTCGTCGGCTGGTTCCCGGGTTGGTCTCTTTCCTCGTACTTCAACGGTTACACCAACGCTACGATCCAGTCCGCCGTCAACATTTCCCTTATCAGCCGCGGCGTGGGCTTATACACCAACGCCGGTTGGGAGAAAGTATGGCGGTCCGCTTGTTGGGCGCGCCTCAATAACACGGAGCGAGCCCACTACGAGCTCCGTTTGACCATTGACCAGAATATCGGCCAGAGTGGGCTGTCCCTTTATAGTGGTGGCGATACGCCGTCTGGTGCCTTTCAGATCGATGCTAATTTCGGATTTCTTGGTGCTGTGCTGAGCATGTTGGTTGTTGATATGCCGTTTGATAGTGCCCATTTGGAGGATGATATTCGGACGGTTATTATGGGTCCGGCTATCCCGGCTGCGTGGGCTGGTGGTAGTGTTAAGGGACTTCGTTTGCGTGGAGGTGGAAGTGTTGACTTCTCTTGGGATGATAAGGGGTTGGTGGACAAGGCGAGTGCGAAGGGGATTGCGGATAATGTTCGCATTGTTAATGTTGAGGGACGTGTGCTTGTTTGATTTGAACATACTCCCCAGGCCTAAATTAGGGTTAAATATAGGACTGGGTCGGTAGTTACGAGTCTGCCAAGTGCCACAATGCCAATCTAGAGATGAGGCGACAACACTATCAATAGAGCTTGATCGATAACCCAATATACTAGAACCTATCATGGTCAAGCCTGTCAGTCACCATGCCTTTTAGCCCGCCCCACTTGTACCCACCTCATACCTTGTTCATGATGTTCTGTCTTGAATGTGGTATGTGACTTGCGCAGTCAATTAGTTGAAGCTTTCCACGGGGCTAATTTTCTCCGAGTGGTTTTGATTGAATCAATCATTAGAGCTATTTCATTGGCTGTTCGGATAGACTTCGGATTTACTCCTGCTCCGTCCCAGCCACAGAGGCAGGAGCATCATTGAATGATGGATGTACATACATCCAATACTACTACTAGTCGGTACCTACAGACGCAGGCCTTCCCAAATTGGCCGCCATGTGATGTGGGAAATATTTGAGCGACTCTTGATCAGCTGATCTATTACTGCCATCGTCTCCGCCCCGCTTAGATGAGTCCATTTGGCGAACTGGGATGGAGCAAATGGCTAGCAGCAGCTCACCAGATTACAAAGAGCTCTTTTTAAGGGCTCAGGAACAAATACGAAAAACGACCTTTGCAGAGCTTATTCAATACTGCCACGACTATTTTGCTCGACCTCTGAGAGCCGCAAGTCCGTCTCGTTCTACAACAGGGACGATACCACCGCCTAAGGGGAAATGCTAATAATCGGATGAACCTCTTGGATGATCTCACAAGTCTTACATATTTCGACAAGCAGCATTGTGAACTCATCCCAGCCGTACTGAAGGAGGAGCTTAGGCCTATCTCTCTAGATATCCTAAATCTTTACGGGGTCATGTCAGGTAAGCGATAGTCTATTGTATTTTTAGGTGACTGAATGGCGGGGTTGGCCAGCGAGCGGGCAAGAGAAGGAAAGTATTAACTAGGATACCCATTTTAAAGCATTTGTATTTTATGAAGGTCAGTGCCTGATACTCCTTGGAAAAGTATATAACCGAGTGATTCCAAACTGTACAGGTTCACCTAATAGACTATATTAACTCTAGAGAAGAAATTAACAGATCTTATCTAAATAATCAGTTATTAACAATTCCTTAACTGCGGTAACAGAATCTACTTTGGGTAATTTACAATACTATATAATATACATAAAATACTGTAGAATATAGACACCAGTACTATGTATACCCGGTAGTACTAGAGTAATTGGGATAGTATGCTCTAAATGTTCTGTCTGCCTGCTGCAAGTGTATGATACTATGAAGTAAAACGCTAGAACAAATCTATTATATATGCTCCTATATTCAAACCCTAGAGATATACAAAGCAAGCCATTTAATGTATTCAAAGAGTACATAGTCATACGGACAGAACTGGGGCATAGTATGAATTCGTCATGATCATAACCAGAGAATGAACGAACACAAGAGAGATAGACGAGGAAGGCAGGACTTTATCAAATCGCAGAACTAAGTAGATTCACCAGTTCACAGAATCTTAACCTGGGTAGATATTCGCAAGGCTTCCACATCTGTTCCATTTGGAGATTTGCAAGATATGATAATCCCCGCTCTCAAAAGCGTTTTCCGCAAGCCTTTTGGAAAGCAATTTGGATCCGGGCGGTACTTTTTAATCTGAATGTCCGTAGGCGTAAAAGGACATTGACGAGGAAAGTTGCCATACTGACCAATGTTCTTGAAAATACATTGGTTCGTTGCCACATAATCGCAAAGATTATCGTCTCGCGCATAGACTTCCAGCCAGTCAACACCATCATCAGATTGGTAGCCCAAGATATGCACATCGCATTGATCAGAAAGATCTTGACGTATCCTAAAATTGACATTGGCGACTAGGTCGTCGATGTCATCATCACTGCGCAAGTGTTACTCTTATGGTTCAATTTACATCCGATTTGTTGCAAACTCACACCATTACCTCAGAACGTATGTCAGCAAAGTAATCTGGATTTCCCGAGATGTCAAGATCCTCCAAATAGACGTCAAATGGCCTGCGATCCTGTCCCCAGGCAGAATGTGCGAGAAAGAGTGAAAGCCATAGAAGCCAGGCAGCATTGAGAAATTTATCCATGACTATTCGTGGATCAGAGTTAACGCAAGATGTCGAAGACTTGGTGTATTTGTCTTTAAGAAAAATGATTTAAGTGACCATCTAGAGCTAAAGGTGCGGGAGTGAGGTGAATATATACCCTCAGACTGGAATGAATCTATAATAGGGACCATTCCGAGATAGGGCTAATCAGTCAAATAGTTCCAAATTAACTCCGGATAGGGACAGCTTTGATGTCATAGCTGAAAGATCTGCGAGGACGATATTTTCGGATATCGTCAATTAACATGATAGGGGGATAAAAGGTCAATGCGAAAAGTATATTGATATAGTTGCGTACTATTGATTTCTGAATTTACGTACAAGGACATCATCGGGGGGGAGATCTGCAGTTCCGAGAGCTCAAAACGGAGGCGTCAAAAAGCAAACATAGAGTATTGCGTAAATTCCTAGATCAGATGCTCCTGCACCCGAATCTATAGGATTACATTAGCCCCTTGCAGATCAAGAGATGGCACAGTGGTGCCCGACCCAGTTCAATATGGGCTCAATGATTATGGACCCAGCATAGGCTGGGTTTCTGCAGCCGCAACTTTGATCACCACTGGGACGTTTCTTGGAAAACAGATCCACATCGGACTTGATGCTCTCAGGGCGTATGGGATAGACTCGGGACCACAGCCTTCGGTGACTCGTGGCACAATTCGACCCCAAGGACTACATAGTAGTACCTGAGGACAAGGCCAAGCGGATTTTCTCGCGTTAGTTCACGAACCACAGCGTATGGATAATGAGACCGGGATTGACACGGATCTCCTTATGGCAATGCTGTCTGATCCTGTTGGGGACTGGTCGCATGTAATTCGATATTCGTCCCACAGTGATCTAGAACCTATACACCGATTTTATATCGATTGCTTTCTGTCCATTTTTGAATCACTCAGAAAATTCTATAAAGATTCTTAGAGGAAGCGTTTCTCGATCATGCCCATGACATGTATATCCTAGAAATCAGATCCCCACTCTCAAATTGACCGTCATTCAAGCTTTATATAACCCGAAATGTCGCTCAACAACCTCTCCTAGGTTATAAACTGTGTTCTAGATGATAACGTGCGGGGTAAGATAGAAGGATTTGGCCGATCTCTATAAATACACTAACTCAGTGCGAGAACTGAAAGTGAGCTGTTTTTCGGATGTAGCTTACAACAACTGATGGCTAGGTTTTATTTGATAAACATATCCATTATTGCACAACTAGGCCATCCCTTGCTTCTCTGGCCCATACCTTTATCTTAGTCACCATCTCTCTTTGGATCGAATTCTTGACATCCCACTTTCGTTGCACATCCAACGTAGAGCCACGATGTCCAAGCGCTATGAAGACGCTCTGAATGTTTACCCCGATTCTCTACGGTTCGTTAAACAGCTCAAAGAATCGGACGCTTCCTCAATATTTGAGGTGGAGGTTCACGATAAACGCTATGCGATGAAACTGGTGAGTGGCGTCAGATCTTGGCCAAAATTCCGCTAACTTTTGAAGTTTCATGACAACAGTGACCCTGGCTTTGCCAAAAATGGCCGTGACTTGAACCGTTTTCGCTGCGAATTGAACGCTTACAGCAACCTCTCTTCGTTTGGCGTATGCGAGCGTAAACTGGTTCCATATTATTATGGCTATATTGATCGACTTGATCCAGCAAGTTTCCAGCCGCATCTTGGTGGTTTCATGAATGATATTCACCATCCAAGGGCTATTTTGCTCGAGTATTTGCAAGACATAGAAGAGCTCCACTGTGTAAATTACTCGGATGAGCGCATCTGAGCCGCCATCAACGGGCTGAGGGAAATCCACCGCTCTTTAATTCACCACCACGATATCTATCCAAAGAATATCCTCATTGTTCGTGGACAACCCGAAAGAGCTATTTGGATAGATTTCGATGTCGCGATGAATTTTTCCGAATAAAGAGTCCATGGGTCACCTCGAAGAGGAAATTTGCGAGGAGGAAATCCAGGTTGTCGAAAGCTTTGGAGACCTTCTAGTTTGTTAATTCTTACACTCGCTTTCAGCAAGGTCTAACAAATGTTTAGCGAGAGGATCAGAGGCAGGGTCTTCCCCCGAATACGAAATACTACTAGTCGGACTCTATCAAATACCCGAAAGGATACGCTTTATCGCTGTATCGGATGCGAAGGACAATTAATGTTGAGATCCTCATCTATTTTACTACCAACCCATTTATCCAACACGGTTCAAATCTAGGAAATATCGCCAGCGACTTTCTGTTTAGTGGTACTGACCTAAGGGGATTGTCCGAGAGAACACTTTGGGCAAGACCCAGGTAGAGAGGTATTATTTCTCTAATTTCCTTACTCACTCCCTATCCTTGCCTGTCTCTATTTTATACCCTTGACTTTCATACTTATTCCCATTAATTGTGCATCCCCATGAATAATTTGCGTGAGATCGAGTGGATCCCATACCTCCAAGCAATTGGTTTGCCCAATAAGACGCATGTCTGTTAGTAGAGTACAATAGCTACAACTTCATATTAATCCGTAACGCGCTGGCCGTGGATTGGTAGAACACTTAGAACACAAGTATGGAACGATAAGTCCAATTACCTGACCTGATTTGACCTTATCTGGGTTTCGGGTCGGGTTTGACCTTCAACCCCAATATCTGGAGCGGGGTCCAGCGGGGAACCTTACCTCTCCAATCGTGATATATATTAGATGCTACTCCAGAATTAATCCTAAATCACTCCTATGCACCGGCTTAATACTTAGGGAGCACTCGGCCTACACAATTCTGCCTTGCCGCACACTCACGGATCACTTCCTGAGAGATCAAACAGTGACTACTAGCTTTCTTGATCATACATCGCCACAATGGCCGCTTCCGCGAATGCTTCAAGATGTACCTTGGAAAAGGCACAAGAGTTGCTTATTAGCGCCGAAAAAACCTTCATCGAACAAAATCCAAACTCCAAGGCTCAGCATAAGCTGGCTAGTGAAGTGTTACCAGGTGGTAATACTCGCTCAGTACTCCACACCAACCCCTTCCCAATCTGTATGGAACGAGGCGAAGGCAATAGATTGGTGGATGTAGACGGACACGAGTAGGTATCTGCATTATCTTTGCCATTTTGAGGCTAACTTCTCCACTCTCAGATACCTGGATCTGGTTGCAGAAATGACAGCCGGCCTATATGGCCATACAAATCCGATCATCCGAGACACCATTGTCTCTACGGTTACGAAGATAGGGTTGAATCTAGGCGCGACGACTACCACAGAGTCCCGGTTTGCAGAGGCGATTCGTCAGCGAATCACGTCCATAGAACAATTACGTTTCTGCAACTCTGGCACAGAGGCAAACCTACATGCGCTGAGTATTGCTCGCGGTGTGACTGGAAAGTCTAAAGTCATTGTGTTCAATGGCGGCTATCATGGCGGTGTTCTCACCTTCCCACATGGAGTCGCTGAGAACAATGTCGACAAGGAAGATTGGATTGTCGGCAAATACAATGATGTGGAAGGAACCCGCAAACTCATTTCTGAAAACAGTGATATAGCCGCAGCCGTGCTTGTCGAGGGTATGCAAGGCGCCGGGGGATGTATACCGGGCACTGCGGAATTCCTACACACAATTCAGAATGAGGCCAGGGCAAACGGGATGGTATTTATTCTCGATGAGGTTATTACTTCTCGACTTGCACCGGGCGGACTTCAGTCTGTCGTCCGAAGCCCCTATGATGGCGCAGCGTTGAAACCTGATATGACCACTTTAGGGAAATGGATTGCCGGGGGAATGACTATTGGCGCGTTTGGGGGTCGTAAGGACCTTCTCGCGGCGTATGACCCACGCCCTGCGTCGGATACATCAGAGAAGAAGGTTCAAATTAGCCATTCAGGAACTTTCAATAATAACACACTAGCCATGAATGTGGGGTTGGTGGCCCTGGAACATGTCTATATGCCGGAGGTTTGCATAGAACTCAACAACATGGGGGATTGGTTCCGCCGGCTTTTGCAAGAGCGCTGCCGAGGTACTAAAATGACAGTCACTGGGCTAGGGGCAGTGTGTAACATTCATTTTACGTCGCACATCGACAAAGCAGGAATCGCCTCTGTGGATGATTTGGTAACAGAGTCGAACGGGGTTGAATCGATCTTGAAAGACTTGTTCTGGTACTATGCCGTCCGGAAGGGCTACTGGATGACCAGACGTGGCATGCTGAGCTTGATCTTAGGAACTAGCAAGGCGGATCTCCAAGGTTTTCTCGATGTGGTGGAGGCCTTTGTTCAGGAGCATCGGGATCTTCTTACATAGTTTTTCGAAGACTAGTCTGTTTGATCTTTGTTATTTCCAGTACCTGACTCCAAATAGCATGCTTGGTGGGTCTTTTTTAGTATCAATGACATCTACTGTAAGGACTGATGAGCTGGTGTTCTCCTAGTAGTGCTTTGTGTATAATTGGACACTATATATGGTAACCGATGTTGCTATACTGGCCGTTGAATGACTTAGGCCACACATGTTTTACCCTCATTCAAGGGGTAGTGTATGATACCATGCTTATAGTGAATTATATCAAGAGATTTGCTTACGTCCTATCTCACTTTCCATTGTCCCAAACTGGCCCTTCAGGGGCCAGCGCAGAAACACCAGCAAGAAACCGGGAAATGTCTAACTTGACTGAAACGAAAATAGAAAGAACACATCATCCCTAGCATAAAAGAGTTTCCATTTGAAACTCGTTGAGATTTCACTTCATTCTCTACTTGGGAGATAGTATATGTTGTTACTTCACTGCTCCGAAGACACCCAGGAGATCACTTACCATACCGCCAACAAATCCAATAACTCTATACATCTGATCATAGTAAGAAAACCTCCATATACTACCTAAGCGAAAGCCCCACCTAACATATGCCAGCTACAATCATGTGTAGAAACCTATACAAGAAGTACAACTGCTGCAATCATATGCTCACCGATGTGATACTCTGTACCAACCGACCTTTCTGTGCGCGGTCCGAGGATTGGAGATATCCTTCCCAGTCGGAATGTCCTCGCTGCTATGTATTATTGTCGTCAACATCGACATCAGCTCCTCGGATCTCTGATACTCCCTGGAGTCATGAGGAACGGACGTTTGCTGAGATTTTGAGAGAGGCTAGAACCTCGCGGAGGTATGGGGCTTGATGGATGCTTTTGGTGTATGTACATTACTGGACACAGTTCTATCTTGTTTTCATGTTTTAGCTACAGTATAGTATTAGTGCTAGTAACTGCGATATCCACCGAAGTTGCCTAACGCGCTCATAACGACGCAAAGATTTGAACAACCTTGCCATACGTAAGAACAAAGTTCAGAATCGAATTCTTCTTCCACCTCTTGCCACTTTCTGGCTGCACAGAGCCTCGTAGGATTGTTTAACATGCTGTGGTCGAGAAACACTTGGCGGAGTGGGTGCGACTTATGCTTCTGATTGGATGAAAGCTACCACAGGAAGGCTCCTAAGCAGGCAAGAGTACGTTTTGTCTCGAAGTATTTTGGTTTGGGCCTTGTGTTTTGAAGTAAATACTTGCGGATGAAATATCACTTGTGTGTATTGAGCTGGGCTTGCTGTGGCAATATCTATACACCTTATAGCATATCTCGTATCTGATAGTAGCCTCTAACCCTCCGGTCCGTGGCAATTAGCCGGCAAGTTATCCGCTGGCTGGTTGGCCGAATCCTACTTACGCCCCACATGTCTCTTTCGGTGCCATGTATACACAGTCCAAGAGATCCATATCAGCTCTGAGCCGGAAAGCACAATGGTAGAGGAAAGAATGAGTGCGAGAAATTTGCAATCAACCTGAGAATCTTACAAATCACACGTTTCTCGAGAAATTTCTTCACCTACGAACTCCCGCCTACTGGGGAGGTCATCCCAGCATGTCTATAAAAGCATCCCAGCGCCGTCCAAGAACCCCAGACTTCAGTGATCTTTATACGTTCGAAATCATATTTCCCTGCCTTACATCACCATGGGTGACTGTCTTGAATCCAACCCGGCAAAAGCAGCCCTCGAGGCCCGCTACCTAGGCAGCTCACCACCAGAACCCACAAACACAAACCCCGTCCTCAACGCCATTTGGCACCACAAATCCAGCCGCCACTTCCTACCCGACCCCCTGCCATCAGGCACCCTGGAGACCCTCATCTCCGCCGCCCAAAGTGTCTCAACCTCCTCAATGCTACAGGTCTGGAGCGCGGTAGCCGTGCAAGACCCTACCCGCAAAGCCGCGGCAGCCAAGCTGTGCGGAAACCAAGGCTTCATCGAGCAGGCGCCGCTCATGCTGTTCTTCTGCGCGGATCTGAACCGTCTAGCGAACATCTCGGCGTGGGAGAACCAGCCTGGAAAGGCACTGACTAACATGGACATGTTTCTTATGGCGACGATTGACACCTCCTTGGCGGCGCAGAATGCGGCCTTAGCTGCAGAGTCCATGGGACTGGGGATTTGCTATGTCGGCGGAGCAAGGAATAACGCCGCTCAGCTTTGCGAGTTGCTGCATCTACCACACAGAACTATTGCCCTGTTTGGGATGGCTGTCGGCGTGCCCGACCCTGGCCGCTTAGTGGATATTAAGCCGCGGTTGCCGTTGCGGGAGGTTCTTCATCTGGAGACGTGGGATGATAGCTGCCAGCGTGAGAATGTTGAACGGTATAACCGGGGCCTAAGCGACTTCTATGACTGGCATCGGCTTTTTGGTCGCGTGAGCTGGGCGACTTTTGTCGCGGGTTTGATGGCGGAGGGGGGGTTAGATGGGAGGGAGAGGATGAGGCAGGTGTTGCTGGAGAAGGGGTTCGGACTTGAGTAACTATTTTTGGATGCACTCGGGGAATGGAATGGATGATAGGTTTAGACCCAGCCTCGGTGGGGGATGCTGGCTTCTGTCACTGCCGCGCTTGGTGGTTGAAGTTCCTAGTTTATATCTTCAATGGCAGTTTTATAGACTGAGCATTGGAATCTAGATATGCACACGAAAACATAGTATAGAAAATACAAAGAAGCACCAGTCATTCATCTACAGAATCAGACAGATGCTATCAGCCTGTACCCTGGGCTTTTATCCCTTCCAAGGTCTCCACTAAGCTATCGGCTTCGTCGTACAGATACTTGCTCACATTATACCCCTTGAAATAAATACCAGCATCCCTAACTGCCCAGAATGCCCTGACTACACCTTGAATATATAGCCCATAGCCATCAGAGCAACAGACCAATTTCGGAACCTGCGGCATCCACCGATCCCTTTCCGCGCCCTCTGTCAACTCAATACACGCCACAAGAACGGGTACCATCACGAATTTGACCGGCTTGCCTGTTACCAGCAGAGTCGATTCCAGCTGTGTCAGGATTGACATTCCAAGTCCCCGGGCAGGAAGGTCATGCACCCCGAAGGGAAATCTGATACGATAAAGGATGAGAAGGGCGGCCATACGCATTACTTGGGCCTGGCAGAATATGTGTGCGATCTCGATTGCGGAAAATCTTTGGCATAACCCTTCGGAAGCACCGGGTTGCCAGGCGAGTGCTTCTGCCTCGAGTTTGTCTAGTGAGTGCGTTATTCGATGAATATCGTGCCCCCCGTGGTCCGTTGAGACCACCCGGTTCAGTTCGCATAATTGGAAAAGTAATGGAAGTAGAGAGGTAGATACACCAAGGTAGCGATCCACGTAGAGGGGGTCTTCTGGTTGACGGAACTTTAGTGCTGGAGCAGCTCCGTAAACCAAAGATCCTGCCATCTCCAGCATCGTCATGCCGGCAAGGAAGAAAAAATGGTTCGGATCAGGATACGGAATGATGTCATACACCGGCCGAAGCAGGATGAGAGTCTGTCGGGATAAAGTGTAGACATTATGCGGTCTTGTGAACATGGCAAAGAGCATAATCATTGTTCCAAGAATGAGACTGGTTGCTGCTTGCTGCGCATCTGTGATGTGCATATCGCGAAGATTCTGCAACGCTGACGACGCGTGCCGGTATGAGGCAAGAAGCTCGTCCTGAGACAGGTTTACCCTGCTGCTCTTTGAATGAGCGACGGACAGAACAGAAGCAAGATAGGCGTGGTCTAGAATTGACCTCGACTGCTCAAAACTTGAGAGTAGGGAAGCGTGGTGCTGGCGCCAGAAGGCTGGCCCAATGAGGAAATTGCCATAGATGTCATAGTCAGAAAGGATAGTGTATACAAGGTCGGTCTCAGTAATGGATGGAGTGCCCGGGATCATACTCGTGCTCTCTGAATTGGCCTGTAAAGGTCCAGCTAAGCGAGCCCGGCGACCGACCCTCTTCGTTGGGCGAGTATTACCGCAAGAGAAACCAAGTCGAGAGCATCGAGCACACCTGTTAGAGTCTTGGAGCCACGAGCACCGTTCTTTGATGCTGTAGCATCGATCGCAAGATCTGGTCGGCTGGGGTGGCATTTAAACGGGCACGTAATACAGGAAGTAGTGTTATCTAGCAGATACTCAATACTCCAGAGTCCTTAAATCCTTAAAGCTGAGACGACTAAAGGTGGTTGTATAAATGTATAAATTAGCGGGACGGGCGGGCCCCTAAATACGAAAGATTTAGTGTTTTGACTCTTAGTCTCTTACCGCCCCCCAAACCTTGCCACTACCCCCTGAACGAAGGCCCTAGCCTAGGGCCTCCAGGGGACTCGCCCCCTTATGTATCCCTTATAAGTTATAATAGTGCGTTGGTATTGGTAAACTTGGTAATATTCTACATTGTCCTTTAGCTCGATTTAATCCGCCATACCTAAATTAAATGTACGTCGCCACCTGCGACCATCAGGTTAGTACAACTCTCCCCTTGTATCAATTTCCTGGGGATACTGGACGATGAGGAGGTGCGTATTTGAAACAGCGCTCCAGAATTGATCAGGTCTACCTGAACATGTGGGAAGACTGTATAATTATTTTCCGATTTGGTATATTATCTTTGGAATGTAGTAATGTACAGTGCATAGAAGCATATATCCCCACACCTCTGATTATAATCGAGATCATCCAGTTCACTGGAATACATCTCAGGCCAGCTCGATTTAGCAAATATCTGGTTGGAGTGATCATCGTTTAATCCCCTCAGCAGGCATCTCCGCTAATATGTTCTCGCCTGGCATCTCGAAGCGAGGTTGGTCCCTAGTTCCCATCTCATAAACCTCTGGTCCGCTGCCATACAACTCTTTCCGGGGGCTTTGATCCAGCGGTGGGATAGCTGATGCGTCACTCTGCCATGCCAGTCGAGAACTACTCGCAGCTTTTGCTTTCCGATGTCTTAGGGTGAGGAGCCATGCAAGACCAGCAATCAAGCCCACACCGGCGACGCAACCGACCACCACGCCGGCAATGCCGCCGCCGGATAGGCTTTTAGATGCACCGGAGCTCTGTCCAGTCGTACTGGGGGTGGAAGTCGATGAGGTGCCAGAATCCGCGACGTTGTTTCGTTTCTTAAATAAATCTTCCATGCTCGTACTATTGAATCCACTCTCGGGCGAAACTACTGTTGCTCCACCAGTTTCACTATTAGTTGGTTAGTAACCGTGTCTTTGCTGAGGGAAAGTTGGAGGAACGAAGTTGACCTACCTCCCACCAATGATGTCAGACACCTTAGAAGGGATCTTATACGCATCGCTGTAACTTGCATTATAGTTGGACAGCCACGAGAGGGAGTGGAGGTCGAAGATGCCTATCCCATTAGCAAACGTAGCGCTGTCGCAATTCTGTGGTAACGGGTCATATTCTCGATTCGTGACTGGAGTATTGCCTCCAACCACAATCATGGTATTATTCTGAGGTCGGACACATTTGTGTTTGATACGAATGCTGTTATCGTCTGTAACTCGAATCCACCGAAATGAGGGCACTGAGAGAACATAGACATTGCCATCTGACAGAGCTGTCGTGTTTGCCATTCCGCCGAACACGTAACTTCAATGTCGGTTAGTACACAGACGATCATGGTTGGTTGAATAGCAGGCCAGACGACTTACATGGAGTATGATGATAGGTCCTGGGCAGGAGCAACAACTGTACAGCCTGACATTCGCCAGCCGGGAACATCGCCCGAAGTTTGTTGAGTGTACCATTTCTGCTCCGCGATGTCGTAGACACGCACCATTTCCATTGAATTCTGCAGACATTAGCGATGACATGAAACAGGGTTAGGTTCCGTACCCGATGAATTGTTTCATTTTGCCGGTAGGCCAAATATGAAAGTGTCTGGCCAACTGGGTATTTATAGCCGCCAAAGGCTACTATGACGCCTTCGTCTCCTGCCGATTCAAGCAAGCTCGTATATCCGTCGCCTATGGTCCCCCATTCGTTCATATCTGCAGTCGATGCGTTCGTCCATTCTAATGTATCCATATCGAGCGTAATCAGCCCCGGGTCCATGTATACATCTGCCCCCTCGGTGCCGGCAAAGCTCGGGTTGCCGCCTGGGTTCAGGGAGCCACTGAGGTAATAGGCCTTGCTCGAAGACTGAACTGCGCCTCCCTGGCAGAGTCGTACAAGTGCGGCACCCGAAAACCCGCTATGGGTCCATTCGTTGGCTGCGATGTTATACTTCCATGTTCCGAGAGGAGGGACCGAAGGGCCATCTACTCCACTAACGTAGCCACCATAGAAGAAGAGGTTTTCTCCATCTGACCAGGCGGCTCCCTCATCCAGATATATCGCAGTATCGTTTGCGACGGGCTTTGGGATGTATGTGTACAGGTCGGAGTCCGAGTTGACCCAGGACTTGGTCAGATCGATAGTTTCAAGGTCGTCAACTGTTGGACGTTAACTCAATGTCGTAAACAGCGACGGGAGATTCGCACTTGGCTTCGTAGTGATCGTGTCATTCGGCCACCGTGTGTGCATTTCACCGCCATCGATGTAAAGTTTTCCATTGCTGACGACGGCTGAGCAGGATGTCAGTTCGGCTGTTGCAGGAGTGGCAACCGCGACGTACCAGAATGGAATATGCGACTGCAGTTTGTCTCCGCCGCGAGGGCATACTGCGTTATTGTAAATAAAAAGAGGGTGAATAGAACTACCCCGGCCATATTGAAGTTTCCAACACCGGTAGCTATAGTCACCGCAGGAGTCCTGGCAATCGCAGGAGTTCACAAGCCAGGGGTTTATCTTCCCGGAGATTTGAATGTGAGGAGAGCCTCGCAACAAATGTGGGTACAAATCATGGCGTTAAGGTGCACCCCAGTGAGGGTCAATGCTGCTAGATCAGAAAAAGCCTTGGGGCGGTGCTCCGGACGTGCATGAAGTCTTGAGTCCCTAGTCTTTACACGGAATAGTTTAGACCATGCTTACACGTACAGAACAAGAGTACAGAACAAGATTGGTAATTTGTCGGCTTCGGTTGGGAAAACTTGGATGATAGTCTTTTGTGAAAATTCAGATCTCATCAATGCAAGGCCATCCGATTCAGCACCCCATCAATTGGGGTTGGCGACTCAGTTCTCATATCTGCACGCTAACATACCGAGTGCGATTGGTGACGCGCGTTGAGAAAGATAATAGCTCGGAGAAGGATGATCAGAAGTCTGACAGGATTGGTTATTTCGTCTAATCACTCTCTAGACTATCTTTAGGGCATAGTATGGGGGCCAAGCTGCTTCTCCCCACAGTCCTTCATCGCAGCTCGTTGGTGTATTCCTCCATGACCCATAATAAACTGCGACTAACACACAGGCTTGGCGGACCTGCTCGACTTCAGCCTCGTGGAAAGGAGATCTATTCTGGTTTTTCCAGCGTACGAGTTGTGGGGCAGGAGAGAGCAGAAAAGTACCACCCGCGATCGACGGGGAGTAATGATGATCAGCTGAGTTGGCATAGGAGCTCCACGGAGGAATGTCTCTGTAAAATCAAATCAGCCTAAGGAGTACTAGTAGTATCATAGCATATGTGAATGGGTCGAAATTCCTGTCCAGTGTGCCTGACGGAAAGGTGCTTTCTTATCGAAGCAGAACGACGTTTAAGACAGTTTAGCTTCATGGTACTCGGTACTCTCGCTGGAATATATTGATCCGTGCATACACCCAAGACTGGACAACCATGCACAACTATGAACGGCCTCTCGATTGGTTGGTGAGGCATGGGGCTCGGCGTCAGTTTGCATGAAGCCCGCCAATGGAGGAGATGCACCGGGATAAATCACGGTAATCACCCCCAACTAGCACTGCTTCGGAGTCCTTGTCTGCAGCAGTTACCGCTAGTAATCCTCTTTTCCCTGGTTCAGCGTAAGGCTTGGGAATAGTCTAAACTGACAACCCCTATGCAGGTTGCAGACATCTGGTTCACTTTTATCTTGACATTGCTACAAGGCCTCTCCACTTTCAGTTGAGAAAGTATCCTAATGCTTAGGCCACTGAGTCTTGTGCAACGCTCTCAGCTCTAGCCCTGACTATCCTGACTACGCACAGACGAGGCAGTCAAATTAGTGTCATCTGGAAACATAGGAGTAGAAAAAGGTGGATTGATTTCTCAGTGAGGACATTGTCTGAGGAAACTACCCCGTTCATCATGCGTCCTGCAAATTTTAGGCGGGGACACTACCAATCAGCCTCCCAGAGTCCAGACCGATAAAGAAAACTTTTCTATGTGAGGTCTCACGGACCAAGCCGACAAGGATATCACGAGGACACTCGAGTAGAACGGGGGCGCCATGCTGACAGGTACAGTTATTTGAACCACGTAGGACATCAAGCCAATCCTATTTGCCCACGAGGTTGCTCTGTACTGCATGATTCAGTATCGGCATGAACGGAAGGCTCCTGGCGAAATCGGAGAGTGGTCATGACCCACAGTGTTCCACAACCTCACACCCATTGGATCATGGTGTTGGGTTGGTGCCAGGTACCGTTGATCTTGACTGGTTCTAGTTTTTGCAATTTTTCTTTTTCCTTGGCTCTGTTGGTCTGTCTTTAATTTTTTTCTTTTTTTTCCCTAGAGTAGTTCGTTGTGCATCTGCCTACTATGCGTTCTTTATAACAGGGAATGGGGATGTAGCTATCTCCGCCTTAAGCACTCTGCTCAGGGTTTGATATCCCACGTTTCCCACCCCACGGAAAAGACGAACAGGACACAGAAAACTTTCTAATCAGTTGGATTTGGGTGGTTCCACGAGGCTGTCCCACCATAGGAACATGGCTAAAAAAAATTAATTTCCCCAATCTGAGGAAGTCTCCATATTTCTGTGATTATTCAGCGCGGTTTATCAGGCCCTAAACCAACCAGCGAACGAGCCAAAGGGTCCACTAAACCTCATCAATGAAGAATCAACCCCCTTGGCCATTGATCTTGTTTCATAATTGGCTGCAAAGTATCGCCTTTGGGGCCTCAGCTTATCTGCTGATTGCGACATATCCACCATGACAGTCCCCCAGACCCTGAAGGGTCTGACCTTCCACCCTCTCTATCTGTCTGAGCCTGCTCCGACAGCATCTCTGCCATGATTCCGTTGCCACAGCTGCTTAAGCGCCGGTACATCTTTCTGGTCGTCTCGGGTATCGTCCTCCTCGCCATCGTCAACGGCTTGTACCTGAACGTTCTCCCCGTCCCGAGCGTCATTTGGGGCTCTGCGGAGACAGCAGTTGAACGACCCGATCTCAACGAGGCTGCGCCGCACCCGATCGATGGATTAATTCGCGACGCCCAAGCGAAATGGGACCAGCTCCTGTCGAAGCGCGTGGATTCCCTAGCTGATGCAACGAAGCAGTATCGAGAGCGAAGAGGCCGTCACCCGCCGCCCGGGTTCGATCAATGGGTTGCCTTTGCAAAGCAAAAAGACGCAGTACTTATCGAAGACCTATTTGATCAAATATATGATGACCTGAGTCCATACTGGGGGTTGGACCCTCAAGTGATTCGGCGCCATGCAATGCATTGGGATCCCCGGATTGTTATACGCAACCATACACTATCCTCTATCGGCCATACTGGCGTCAACTGGCTCGAGGTCTGGATGGATTTGATCTCGACAATCCAGGAATTTCTCCCTGATATGGACATCCCACTAAATGGTCTGGACGAGCCGCGGATCATCGTCCCGTGGGAGACCATCTCAGAGTATCGCGCCAAAGATCGCGATGTTCAGCAACAACTGGATCCGAAACAAACCGTTAATCAGTATACGACTTTGCCAGCGGAGGAAAAGTCTGCGGAATACTCGCCACCCGCATTCCAGGGAGCCGACAAGCCATTCTGGGACATCATGCGCGGTGCATGTCCTCCCGAGAGTCCCGGCCGCACCAGCAATATCCGAAAGGTCGATTTTGCCAACCCGCCGGCTGAATTTTTCAACTACCGCAACTCTTTCTCTGAAAATGGATTTGTGAAAGACTTCGAGCGCTCGAAGGACCCCTGCTGGCGGGCGGAACTGCAGGCCTTACATGGCAGCTTTATCGAACCTACCACTACGTCTACCACACACGAGCTGATCCCAATGTTCGGGGGCTCCAAGCTGACCGTTAACAACGAGATCCTGATCCCACCGGCGGTGTACTGGGAAGACAACCCTACTTATTCTGGTGGGAAAAGCAACCACGGCGGCCCGTGGGCCAAGAAGAAAGATATCGTTTTCTGGCGCGGAATTGCAAGCGGCGGCCGCAACCGTATCGACACCTGGACGGGCTACCAACGACACAGACTGGTATCGATGCTGAATGGCACAGAGGTCGCGCTGACAAACGGGACGTCGCATGGGATGAACTTCCGTCTACCCGATTTCCAGTACTATCAGGTCACGGCGGGTCTGGAGGGCACACTGCCTGAGTTTTTGAATGAGCACTGTGATCTGGGATTCTTGGATCTCTGTTGTTTTCCGCACGAGGACGATAGTCCACATTGCTCTTATACCGATGATTACTTCAAGATTGTCCAGGGAATGCCCATGAAGGAACAATATGCTTTCAAATATCTGCCCGATGTAGATGGCAATTCCTTTAGTGGACGGTACCGTGCGTTCCTCCTTTCAACGTCCTTGCCTCTCAAAGCAACGGTTTACAAGGAATGGCACGATTCACGGCTGATTCCTTGGGCGCATTTTGTGCCGATGGACTCCCTATATATGGATGTTTACGGAATTTTGCAGTATTTCATGGGATACAAGGGACGTCGTAGGCATGACAAGGAGGCAGAGAAAATCGCCATGGATGGTAAGAGCTGGGCTGAGAAGGTCCTGCGCCAGGAGGACATGCAGCTCTACGTATATCGCCTGCTTCTGGAATATGCACGACTTTGTGATGATCACCGGGACAGTCTCGCCTTTGTAGGAGACTTAATGAATAGTTAATAATAGATAATGAACTTTCTTTCTGTTTATCTCATATTGGTGGATTGTTGCATTCACGCAGCTTCCAAGTCTCATGAAACTACATCACGGCGTGCAATATGGCAAGCTGCCTATAGATGTTTATTTTTCAGATGAAACTGAGAACACCAGATCTGAAGTCAGTCAATAAGTATCCTTCTATGCCAGTCAGTGCTTCCATAAGTCTAGATGGCTCATATAGCGAACGATTCTTGAAGTCCCTCAAACAGGGAACAGTCTTCTCATCAGGTCGTCTGCCGAACAAGATCTTGCACTTTGATTCTATTCTTCCTCCTATGAGTAATGGCATTTGCATCTGCTTCTTGGGAATATACGCAAATTCTGAGCTTGCTTGAGCTCCCAAATTATATTTAAGCATTATCTTCACCGTGTACGTCCCTCAAGGCCATTGTACCCTCATGTGGATAAAAATATTCAATCAACCCTAAACAACACAAAATGCAGTCACTACCCTTGATCTCAGGTCCATACATCCTTACAACCCAATATTCAATTCAAACCCCTGAACTCAAAAGATCCTCCGGCTTCATAATCCCCCTCCTCAACATCTCCACCACGACGGGCCCACTATCGCTATAGATCTGGAAGCTCTTAATCTTAATCCCATCATGCTTAGCAGTCCAATCCTTAACAAAATTAAACCGAAACATGCACCCCAGACCCAAGTCCCAACGCCTGCCATCCAGATCTATGCCTTTCTTTGTATCACCTTCCTTCGTCAGATCAATGAAGAGGGTGGCCTCGCCGACAAACTCCCACCCATCCACCTTCTCCGCAACACACACCCACTTCGGCTCATGGAAATACTCCTTGAACGCGCTGTAATCAGCCTTGGTTGCCTCCCAGGCGGTTTCTCCGCCCGTGAACCGCTCGCCATTTGGCTTGATGTATGTGTAATCGTCCGTGACCCAGTCCGACCAGGGCGTGGACCAGCTTTCGCGTGTATCCCAGGCGTTCGTGCATTTTTCCATCCAGGCCAGGGCTGGGTGGATGCGTGCCTGTGCCCAGCCTTTGGTTGTGCTTAGAAATACGGGGGTGGTGGGGAAGGACATCTTCTGTGGATTTTTGTACGGGTTTAATCGTTTAATTGATCAAGGGGAGTGTCATTCTTAAACGGATGGGAGTGCCGTGCTACTCACGCGGTCCTGAGAAAAGTCATGGTTATATAGTGCACTTCATGTCACAACGAAGGGTACAAAATATATTAATCAATTAAGCGGATCATAGCTACAGAGAGACCCCCAGCCTAGACCTAGCTGTCGTATAAAGTTCGATACGAGATTTGGGGTGGCGAGACGGAACCGATCTTCAGTGGACGATCGGTGAGCAAGTCCGCTAAATCGAGCCGGCTAGAATCTGATGAAGGTTTAAGCCACGGATCCGTAAAGCTTGACTTCATCCCATTCTGAACGGTAGGTCATATGCTCAGTACTGGATGAAGGGCTGTGCTCATGGTTGTATTTCTCATAGTATGACATGGTGGTCTATATATAAGCCAAGGCTAGCCTGCTAGTTAGTATAGAGAATTAGCGTTTGCAAGAAGCCAAATACTATTGGCCGATACCATAAACAAGTCAAATAAACGTTAATCCTGCCGCTGCTCCTACGGATAGCCCTAGATCATCCGCAACCTCTCGCCAGCTGAACATCTCCAGTGAGCGGTGATACGTCGGGTGAAATTTCCAACCATAGTTTAGGTAGCATGTCTCCCAGCAGTCGTCTGAACTATATCTGCTGGATATCTTCGCCAGTTGATAGGCGGCCGGAGAGCCGTAGTCTAGAACATTGAACTCTGAGGTCGCAGACCTCCGGTTCAATGGACGGATATCGTATGACAACGACCAGCACAATATCATGCCTCCTGCAACCATGCACTCGTCATCAAGATATAGATATAAACTGATGCTTGTACAAATGGACAGGTTCTAGAACCAAGCTATGATACTTTCTACACCTTGCAATTTATAGAATTCTCACGAATATACAGTCTTCTTTTTGCCTTTTTTTTTTGCTATACCAAGCTTGTGGCCTTTCACTCGAACAGAAATATGCACTACGAAAAACAACGACCACTGACGCCTCTTCATATCCCCAAGTTTAGAAGTATTTTTATGAGAAATATGGCTTTTTTGACTCGTCTCCCGTTGTTCTTCTGCTTCATATTTGCCAACTTTGCCATCGAGTTCACTGCCCCCGGTAATGCTAATATCGAAATCTTTTATACCCTTATGAACAAACACGATGCTGGGACAGAAGGGGCCGGTAACGATAGTTTTACCCCTCTGGAAGCGCAGCTTAAGAAGGTCCGCTCAGCGAGGACATGGCACGAAGATACTCATTTTTGACAGAACTAATACACGCAATCAACACTGCGGTTGGAGCGCCAGGAGCTGTTACTAGCACCCCTTCAATTACGAGTACCCTCGTTACTGTCGGAAACGCCCTTGGTGCATTGGTCGGATTGTGTGCTGGAGCGGTTGTTGGGGAATCAATTTTCTTCGCTCCAACAGCGCATGTCCGCAGGTATCACATTTGCTTACTGTGCTTATTTCAGGACACTGGCTTTATACTTACTTCCTTTTGGTCTGCCTTGTGGCCATTAAGCTGTGTCCCACATATATATATATACGGACATAGGCGTACATTGTCAAGTCGGCTACTCTTCTATTAATACCAAGGTTGTAGCCATGTGCTACTGCTGCATAGTCTAGCTCAGACGTCTTTTGGTCACTATTTACCTGGCGAATTCTAGGAGTTGGAGTGAGACTGGAGTAGCAGCAGTTCTATTCTGCATGATTCCACAGAATTTAGAGGAGCAGGGTCCTGATAAATTAAGCATAGTGTTCGAAGAAGATCGTGCATACTATACACAATTGCTCGCTTGACTAGTCATTATATGGTAGTGATATTTGCCACTAGGTAAACAGGTTGAAATTCCACTCTAGCCGCAGTCTTACCAGTTATGAGCCTGCGTCGGATACCAGTCTATTGTTGTCCAATCTGACTGGTTCACTTCGGCGTCCATTGTCACCTGTCCAGGTATATCAGGATAGCCCCTGAACTCCGGGTTTAGAAGCCCGTAACCTTCCATACCGTACAGAAAGTCATGGCTACCAAAGTCAGTCGGCATAGTCATTAACAAATGACCCGCGTTCGTATTCAGTCCGCCCTTGGACTCTCTTGAGTTGCTTCCTTGTGTACCTGCCATCTTCTGCGCGACCTCTTTGATCCTTAATACAAACCCGGGCGGCTGAAGTGGCTTGTTTACTTGTCTGTATCCCGCCTCACGCGCCTCCCAGGCCTCGAGCACAATTTTACCGAAGAAATCAAAGAATCGATTGACCATTTGAATTTCCTTGGAACGAGCTTCGCAGTTATCGTTCATAGTCTTCCAAATCCTGTCAGCATGCTCCACCGTAGGCCTCTTTCGCAAGTCTTTCAGAATATAAATATATGCGGGAAACGGGAAGTGGAACTCTGTAAGCCAGAGATACCCCTTCGTTAGAGGAGAGGTCATAAGCTTTGTGTCGCACTCAATGACGCTTAAAGCGTAGGAAATAGCGATATTGCGCTGCTCATCTGTCTGGGGCACGGAAGCATATCTCGAATAATATTCCAGGAGGTGGTTCTTGGCAAGTTGGCCTCGCGTCGTCCATATAGTCATGAAGTGAAGCGGGTTCTCTGGATTGCATAATCTGAGGTATCTATCCTCTATCATCTGCTCAAAGGCTAGCTGCCTATCTCCTTCTGAGCCACCGCCGTACGGGGTAGCTTTAACGATAGCCTTCAAGGAAGGGTTCGTAAAGTCGAGATGGAAAGCGCTGCGGCGCATGAAGTCGCTCACTTGGCTGCGTACGACAGTGAAAAGAGCCTCGGTAGGTTCATCGTGACCTTGTGGCAATACTTTCATTTCGGGCCGGATGTCGAAGTCATTCACGTTCAAGGGAGCCCTACAGTCCCAAGTGGGAATAAGTATTGTGGTCTTGTAGTCTGTAACCTCGGAGATACGATGGTCGAAAATAGTTAGCGACCACCACAGCCTTCGACGCATTTCGCCCTCGAGAGCAGTGCATCTGGCATTGGTTGCCTCGTTGTCCAGACCCATACGTTGTGCGATGCGGATAGCAATACCAAGCATTGAGGATACAGATCGAGGGTCTGTACTAGGTCTGACTGAGACCTGTGAGAATTAGAAGGGTATAGGCAAGATCGCCACTTGGTGCGCTTACCAGGTACAAATATAATGCTGCCAGGCACTCAACACTACTGGTACGGAAAACCCCACATTTCAGTAGAGCCTGTTGGCATGCGAATTGGTACTTTTTCAGAAGATCCTCCCTTGGTGTCCGAAAAATGGCACGGCATTCGTCTTCGCCAAGGCTCATTATGGATACGCAATATATACTGAACATTAGTGCTTCCAATGTCGGACTGATATTTGCCACGTCGCCCGCAGCATCGATAATGCGAGGTTGCAGAGTGGGAGTGTGAGTAACTTTAAGCAAAGGGTTCACATTGTCCAAGTAAACCTGCCACAGCCGGAAAATCTGGACCTGATCTGGGTGCAGAGTTGAGATATCGACATTTGTGCTACATGAACCAAAGAGAAAGTCTTGCTCATTGCCCTGATATACCTGATCCCACGTCTTTTTAACCACAGTCTCCCGCAGATCGACCTGGGGGTGGTTGCTATCGTTTCCATCGGTGTCGTCCCCATCATTGTCGTCCCCATCACTAGGATTTAAAGACTTTTTTTTGCATTGTCAGTGGAACATCAACCCACTGGTGTTTATATGCATACCATTTGATTCATGAGATACCAGAAGTTTCTGAAGGGGGTCAGCCATTTAGGAATATGTATTTCTAGGGCAAGCCTCACTTGGCCTCGTTTGAATATTCACACTTTACTGTTTTCTTCTCGCTTGACAACTGATCCGTCCCCACAGTGGATTCTGTTGTTTTTTCCGGAGTGTTGGATCCTCTGGGATACTCGCTTTGGCACGGACTTTCTGCTGCAGGTGCGTGCAGCGGGTCGAATGGGATATTGTTCTGGCGGAGCAGGGCCTCATAGCGCCGCAGACGCTCCAGCAACTCTCGCTCGGGGAACCTACGACGCCGCTGGCGCGCACCATTGGCAGGAATGCACTGGACGCCAGCTCTGGTGCAGTTGAAACACGGAAATTCACGATTACACCTGACCTTGCGCTGCTGGCACAGCACGCAAGAAAGGACCCGTGGTGGCCTCATAGCGGATCGCGGGGACTCCCCCGCCTGAGAATAGGTAGTCGTGGACTCCTGCGTCGACATTATTTCCGGTGTGTTCGCCGGGCGATTGGGAATCCCACTCTAGACAGGACCGATAACACTGTTAGGGGCGAAGACTTTTGTGACACAACCCTCGGACGATGGGGGTGAGCCATCTCGGGCTTTTACAGCCATTCGAGAATGTCCGTTCGGGCGTCTCCATCTCCCGATAATTCCTCTCGGTCTTTACTAATGTCCGTCCGTTCCTTGGATCTTGCCAATCATGTGATCTGGTCAACCTTTCACGATTCTCTATGGCAAATGCAGGGCTGTTGAATCAGAAGATGTCCTTTCAGCTAAAATGTGCGTAAGGCAAGCTTCATTTATTTACTGACATGGAATTTTCGTGTATTCTCCTCCACAAGTTGTGCTGCCTGTTCATCCGGAGGGCCCACTTATTGCCCAGCAACCCTAATATACATGAGGTTCGACGTGCGAAGTACGAAACACTCGAGATTACTGACCTCCCATTGGAAAGCGCCTATGGATAACTTGAACCGTTGGTTGTCTACATGTCATGCCCAAAGAGGTGCAAGTGGGCTATCCTACCAATCTAATATTTGGGCCTTCTTTCCGCCCCTTTTTGTTGTTTCATTCCCAAGGTACTAGCTTAATACATCTATGGAGTGAGAATACCCAAAGAGGTCAAATTGCTCGTGCTGACTAAGAATCACGGCGGAGTTAAATGGAGTCAACCATTGATTGGCTTCTTGTCTCGTATTTATATCTCGTCAAGAACGACCGATATGGTTCTCCCAGGTTTCTATCTCAAGATTCCTGGCAATGGGCGTGCCTCGAAGTACTGGCTGCTTACTCTGTGTGCAGCGTCGTGTGAAGGTCGGTTTTTTAATATTCTGAAGCCGTGGTTGCATTGATGACAGATATTGGCATTACAGTGTGATGAGGGGCTCCCTGGATGCGCGAAATGTGCGAAATACGGAAGACCCTGCCCCGGATATGACCGAGGCTTCAAGTTTGTCGCGGGGAAGCCGCATCGCTCCAGACGGCGTCTGGGGTCGAAACCAGCGGTGGATGACACGCATCTCGTCGACATCAGTTCAGGAACGGCCAGTCAGGCTATGCAGCAAGCCCTAGTTCGGAGGGCTAATTCATTATGGTTGAGATCTGCAGACACAAATGTAATGCAGGGCCTTGATATCTTAATTGGTGATGTCTCTCAGCCATTTCCTGCCTCCTCAACCTATACAACCTCTCGCTGGTTTACCTTCCTTCCTTCTATATATGGAAGAAACAGAACCCTGGATTCCTCCATCAGATGTTTCGTTGCACATCATATTGGCATGATGACGGGAAATAACCAGGCTATCATTTATGCCAAGTCCACATATGTAGAAGCTCTGAACAGGCTCCAGCGATCTCTTTATAACCCAATGGAAAGTCTCTCATCGGAGATCCTATGTGCCGTTCTGCTTCAATGCTTCTATGAGGTGAGTTATCCATAGCCTCGCCTTGCAGCTGGTCTAACACTCTCAAGCTCTTCACCAATGCACACGACTCCACATCCTGGATGAAACACGCCGACGGGTTAAGTCGACTTGTTAGGTTTAGAGGCTGTGACAGCTACCAGACCGAGTTCGATCATACCTTGCTCAAGGCCTCTCGTGGGTTAATTGTATGATCCTCGCGCATGTTCGCTACTATCGTCATATAAACACTGTATACTGACCAACGAAAGATCATGCACTCTTTATTTTCAAAGGAGAAATGTTTTCTCACATCTAGCGATTGGCAATCCGTGATGAAGCAACAGTTCGACTCTACCCTGCCTACCTCTTTCTATGCGCAAGTAGAGGAGCTCTTTGCTCTCTACACAACCATACCGTGCTTCATCCACCAGTTCTTCGAGCTCCGAGAAGCCGATCCAGCGCACGAAACGACGCAGTTGAAGGCATCTGAGCTTCTAAACGAGGCCCTCGATATGCAAACCAAATTAACCACTTGGTATGACAAGTTCCGCCATACGGCGCCTCTCCCAACTGAAGTCCTCTCGTCGATGGGCGACACCTTGTATCCAATAGTGTACTCATTCACCGATGTCGACACCGGAACCATCTTCGCCGCGTATTATTCCTATATGGTGATTATTCATGCCATTCTGGGAGCGTGTCGTTACCCCGGTGAACATGCGGCTATGGTTGTGCACTACCGGGACCAGATCTGCATGTCGGTCGAATTCAACGCTCAGGGGATTCTGGGTCCCTCTCGATTGGGATTTCCCTTGCTTGTGGTTAATGAGTTTGCGGACCCTCCGACGAAGCTGTGGGTTCAGGGTTGGTTACAGCGGCTTTCGAGAACTTATAAAGTTATGCTGCCGCAGAATTACGAACGGTGAATATCTGCTGCTATTAATATCGTAGCTTTTTCCACAAAGCACCATACATTATGTTTCATATTCTCATGGCTCAAAAGTAAATAAGGTATATAAGGACACCATGTGTCTTCGCCGCTGATCAACCAATCTATGCCCGAGCCTCTTCAACATCACTGTCAAGTCCTCCCCGAATCGGCTCTGCCACTGCCCGGGCCGACAACAAAATAATCATAATCAGAATCTCCATCAATAACCCCATTCCAACCATAACACCCTCATCGCCATTAGCAGGGTCGAACCTTTGCGGCCCATACTGCGCCAACAACATATACGCGATCCTCACAACAAAGAAAGGAAGCGTCGCCAGGACCAGCAGGATGCAGCGGTGGCCAGCTCTGGGCAGGATGGAGCGATAAGCCACGGCCATCCAGCCAAACAGTCCACATCCGAACGCAAAGATGAGAACGAGCAAAACAGATCCAAGCACTTCGCATGCATAGACGGCGGCACTCTCTCCCACCACAATCAAGACTATACCGAAGAACACGGGGAATCGGAAGAAATGGAGTAGGAAGCGGATGGTCTTGGGATACCTGGAGTTTCCAGGGCCAGTTCTACCTGTTTGTCCACTAGTACAAGCACGGTTGTCAGACTGTGAATCAATACAAAGTGGAAGGGGAGCAACTAACCTCCTTAGCATTACAAGGCTCACTTCAAACAATAATGGCGAAAGGCCAATGCCTTGCAGGATTGCTTCTGTCATAATCACTTTCTTGTCCTTGGAGCCTGAGAGCACCATTCCGGACCCGGCAATTCGAACTGGCGTTCTAGGGTCAGCGTGGGGTACAACACGATCATCACCAGGATGTCACTAACGTTGTGCCACTAATCCGATCAAGCCATACCAGGAGTAGAAAATACAGCGAGGAACGGATTTTCGCTTGTTATGATGCCAGTATTTCCACTCCTGCAGAAACCGGGTGGTACATTGGATGATTTGGATGAGCGAGAAGATGACCACCTCAGCAATGGCAATGTGGCGCTTGTCTGTGGAGAAGGCTGGGGTTGGCATATTTCGATAGTCTTTCTTTCTATATTCTATATAGAAGAGGTGTGACACTTGTTGGGTGTGTATAAGGTGTGTATAAAGGAGAAACCGAGATTGTTCATATAAAGATGGGTTCAGTATTAGGAATTGGAACACCGAGCTGAGTGATGAAGATCAGCGTAGACATGCTTCCAGACACCCTTTTATATCCACATCTGTCCCCTCTCTCAACTCCTGCTGAGCCAGAGAAAAGAATATAGATGTGAGGCGCAGTGGAGCCCTCGCGACAGCTGACCCATTTGGGATTAGCGCCTATTCAGTTCGTGCGCCAATCAACGTCCACAGACTATACGAGGCCTCTAGTGGTCACTTGGAACTATTTGCATGGAGTGAAGCACGAACCTTGGAGACATTGGACAATCTGAACCTGTTCGATACCCTGGAATAACGTCAGCAGGAGACAGCATAACACACAAATCCTATCCGTATTGTTTGCTGGGTCGAGCTGTGTGTACATGGCAAGTCCACAAGTTACAGGACAACTACCATTAAAAGGCCAGATCTTGATAAGAGAACTGCTCGAAAAAAAGCCTTCGGCCTCACGGCCAGGGATCACTACTCAACATTCGAATTCTGAGATTAGGGCTGGTAGACAGTTTTGATCCAAGCAGTCACCTGATCAGGGCTGGATCCTGCGTGAACCTGCATGTCGTCTTCAGCCTTATTCTTTAAAATCGCTGATACGATGACGTCCAAAGCCGTGGCCAACCGAAGAAGGAAATTCCTTGTCTAAATCAACATCACCAGTGCCTGCTTAACTACTTGATATACTCCGCCTAGTTTATTGCATCTTGATTGGTTGTTAGTGGTGGCTGAGTATGCAGATCTTCGATTAAATCCGAGTCGCCTACGAGGCTGAACCGCTCATAAATTGAATTCACCGCTTTCTTCAAACTCCATGCTTCCATTAGAAGCTCATCCACAATCAGTTTGTCCTGCGTAAGCTATGCATTATAAACATTTGTTCGGCAGATATCATGAAAGCCCGTTTGATCTGAAACTCCGAGGTTGGATGGGCAGAAGCTGCAAGATTTGTCAAAGGGATTTCGTGAGTGAGAGCGCCGTCGAACAATCAGCGAAGCTCACTGGGTGTATCCTGTGCAGAATCCTTCAGCAAGTCTTCAGTTTTGCCCGCGCCTCAAAAGGATGCTCTTGCCGTGGCTTCGACCTTCTTGACTTCGTATGGGTTCAACAAGTCAACTCCGTCCTATGGTTCTGCAAAAGCTGTGGTGCAAGGCTCGAACTACAACTATACACCTTAGATGGTATTGTCCCCACTATCCCAGTAGTCCTCTGTGACCAACTAATGTTCAGGAAATTACCATCCCGAGTTGGACAGATTCCGTGAGTTGGGACGGGTTGATGTGAGACGACATGCAGTGGAAAGTACACCAACCGACGCTGCAATGTCCGAGGTATCTCAATGGTTGGACACCTGTACTAAGCAACACCCCAAATGCCATCTCGCGGACAACACCCCGTTACCATCACGAGTGCTTGAGATCGACGCGAGTCCTGACCACCCTCTGAAGCTGAGGCTCTATAGAGCTGCACCTGACGAAATGGGACGGTACATTTGCCTCAGTTATTGCTGGGGACCAAAGGGAAGTCCGGTTCAACTAACGAAAGAAACACTGTCGCAATTCCAACAGGATATCGCGTGGGACACGCTTCCCCTCACTTTTCAGCATGCTGCACTTCTTACGAGACAGTTTGGCGTTCGGTATTTGTGGATTGACTCACTGTGTATCGTGCAGAACGACAGTGAAGACTGGCGTGAGCATTGTCCACGTATGGCTGAAATATATCATAACGCCTACATCACCTTGGCGGCCAGTGCTGCGCCAGACCCTCAAGCGGGTCTGTACTCTATATCCGATGATGAATGGGCCCGTGGAAAGGAAATCTTCAGCACGAGCGGTGGTCACCCAATTCGTGTCTTTGCTCGTGCCCCTATGCTCGACATGAACACGAGACGGGATAGCGAGTCTCTTTTTATGCGGGCATGGGCTTATCAGGAGCGCATGTTATCGCATCGCATCCTCTACTTCTCTCAACGGGAGATGATGTGGGAATGTAACGAACAAGTTGCATGTCAATGTCTTCACCTGCAAGAGCAAATGAGTCTCAAAATCGCATTTTCCGAATCTGCCAATACAAAGGATTTCAACCTCTGCTGGAATGAGATTGTGGGCGAGTACAGCAGCCGCAATCTATCCCATACAGCCGATAGACTACCTGCGTTAGCAGGAATTGCCAAAAGAATGCACTCATTGAGGGCCAACGATACTTATATAGCGGGCTTGTGGCGAAGCACCCTTTGCCAGGACCTATTATGGTACGATTCAAGGTTAAGAGTTCATGCGAGACCGACTTGGCAGGCGCCCTCATGGTCCTGGGCGTCCGTCAATTATGCAGTCACTTTCGAAATGAACGAAAAAAACATACAAGACTATTGCCTGAGGCTCTCATATGTATCTCACAGTTGCACGCCACTTCATCCAACTGATGAGGGCTGTTTTGGTGGGCTCCAGTCAGCGTCTCTGACGGTCAAAGGAAAACTGATTCCAACTATTGGAAATCCCCTTTGGAATTCGCTGCACATGGGCGAAAGTCGCCTGCAGGGTTATTTCATGATAGGCTATGATTTCTGGTCAAGTGCAGGATCGACGGTAGAAAATATACCCCTCTATATTCTTCACATCTGCGATAAGCGTACTGGTATTAATAAAACTGAAAGCTACTATCTTTGTCTACGACAAGTTGATGGAGAAGTACACACCTATGAGCGAGTGGGAGTGTTTCACGAAATACAGAGATCCAGGGCGTACGAAAAGCTATGGCGAACCATCAGCGCAACAACGGTCACTCTGGTTTAAGGCTAGGGATTTTGTGGGCATATTTGACGTACCCTGGAAGACAGAACCATATAGCCGAACACAAGATAGAAAGTACCGTCAGCCTCAAAAGGGTAATACAATTTGTCCTGGAGACACTCCAAACAATGGCATCATTGTTTTGTTGATTCTCGAAGGCTGAAAGTTGAAACACTCTCTGGGAAAGGGACAATTGTACGATACTCAGAAGAAAAAGGAACAAAAGGGCATTGTTGTGATAAAGACCCAAGACTGAGATTGAGAGTACAATAACCTCCTACCTAGTGGAGAGTCAACGTATAAAAGACGGAAGAAGCACTCACACATAATTGACTCGTTCCGTCTGTAGGACTCGACCAATAAACCCAGCTTTAAATTACTGCACTTTCCATTCCTCGGTCTTCTCTCTGAAATCAGTGAACTATTCGCTCGATGTACATACATCCCCATAGTTTGTTCGAACCATATCCCATGGCCACTCTCGCGCGTATTCCACGAGAAGTTCTCTACTATATAGTAGATTATCTCGACCCTGAGGATCTCATATCGTTATTAGTTGCCTATCCTGGTATTGCAGGTCAGTTGAGATCTCAACACTTATCTGTGACTGGGGGGATGGTTCCATACTTGCTCGCTAATTCAAGAATTGAACCCGACCCGGCGCTCAGGGACATGACAGTAGAACGTCTCATACGAAACAGCGCCATTCCCGTCAATAGTTGCGATAAACAAGGCTGCACTCCGTTGTGGATAGCAGCGAATCGAGGATACAGAAAGATGGTGAAACTACTCCTAGGGCGAAAAGACTTGGAACCAGATATACCGAACAAATACGGGGTAACCCCACTTGAACAAGTTGTTATCACTGGAGATATAGCCATGGTAAGACTGCTGTTGGTATATGGTGGCATTGATCCCATTCGCCAATATAGCTATGACAGGAAGAAGGCACCACAATTGTGTCCGCTTTCAACGGCAGCCACGATGGGGCGTGCAGCTATTGTAAAGCTGCTGATAGAGTACAGTCCAAAAGATCAATTGGAGCGTGCCGCTGCCCTGGCTTTCAGATGCGCCGCATGCAACAGCCGTGAGGAGGTTATGGAGATTCTAATTAACGGGGTTGAGAATGTTAATTTTCAAATCGAAAACGGACAGAGCGTGTTGTTGTACACATACTCTAAAGGCTACAGGAGTATTGCAAAGCAGCTGTTGACCAAGGACGGTATTGATGCAGGTTGGGAAGGCGACAATGGTCGAGCCATGCTGGATATTGCAGTGGATCGAGAAGATATTGAAATGGTGGAGCTCCTTATAGCTCGAGAGGATGTGAAGTTGTCTTCGGGATTCGCGACGGTTAGACAGACCTAGCACGCTGTGCTAGAATGTTTAACGTCTTACCAGTAAGGTCATATGAACAACTAATGAGGGTAGGAGAAAGATGGGAAAGCTCGAGTGAATTGTCTAACTAAGATTAACCTAGGTGGACATGGAACCAGTGGTGGATGTTTGATCTAGTACGGAGAGCAAAGGAAGAATACGCAGATTTGGAGCAACACCACCATTTCCCCAAGGCATCCATTCGGTTGGATAGATATGAGGCCTACACCGTGGGTGCCCGACAAATAATGACATTGTCCACTCTGGCGTATCGTATTCATACTTCATAGATTGGTACTTCATAGATTGGAAAATGCAACAATATTATATCTGATAATGGCCAAGTCTAAAGTCGCCAATGTAAATCGTATTCCGATTCTAAGTAGCTCCAATAAACAAAATACTACTACATTGGCCCCGTATTCAGCCCGAATAACTTAATTCAGGGGTATTGCGGACAGGCACAGAGTGATTGACACCATTGATTTTGATACCATCGGCATCGGCCTAAATATGATTGGCCCACTGCAACCCGTGACCGGCCAATCCCAAAGTAGTAATCTCTGGCCTGAGGCCACCAACATCGCGAACTCCTCCACATCGACTTTCTCCGGCGGTTCTGGCCGATCTGCTCTAGTCGTCTTCGCATTTCCCTTTCATGTCGTTGTCGTGACTTCCAACTCCGGCCCTACCTCTCTTACCTCTACTCCCCACATACACTCTTTTCTCCCGCCATGTTCCGTCCCGCCTCTAGAGCCCTCCTCCGCGCGCCGGCCGTCGCCCGTGGCCCAGCAAGCAGACGATTGATAAGCACCGCTCCCGCCGAGTCCAAACCGAGGAGCTGGAAGAACACCGCTGTACGACTGGGATTGGCCGCTGGCGCGATCTACTATTATAACACGAGCAATGTGTTCGCAGAGAATCCTTCCTGTACGTTGAACCCACGAGGAAATTTCCCGGGGTTAAACTACCTCTGCCTTGCTCCTCCGAATCCTATACACAACAATTTTTTTCAATCAATCAGCATCGCAACTAACAACAACCCCCAGTCTCCCTCAACTCCCAGCTTAAGAAAAACTCCGCCGAAGAACCCCTCCCCACCCTCGACTCCATCAAGCCCCGGATCCGCGAAGAACGGGAATCCGCCGCCCCCAAGCCCCATGCCGAACAAGCCCCAGCACAAGAGCTCTCTCTCGGCGAGGGCGCCTTGAAGTCGCCCCAGGAGCTCGAAGAGGAGGCCGGCCAGGAAGCTGCCTTCAACCCCGAGACGGGCGAGATCAACTGGGACTGCCCCTGCCTGGGCGGAATGGCTCACGGCCCTTGCGGAGAGGAGTTCAAGGCTGCGTTCAGCTGCTTCGTGTACTCTGAGGAGGAGCCTAAGGGCATGGACTGCATTGAGAAGTTTAAGTGCGTTTGAACCTGGACCTGGACCTATTTTGGTGTAGTCTTTTTTCCATTGAGGGTTATTGTGGAGCTAACGTTTGGGTAATCATCACAGGGGCATGCAAGATTGTTTCCGCAAGTATCCCGAGGTCTACGGCGCTGAACTTGAGGACGATGAGGAGGGTGCTCCTGCTCCCGCCCCCGAGGGTGAGGCCCAGAACGCTGCGCCCCTAGCCACCGAGGTTGATGCGGCTTCGCATCCCGAGGAGAAGCGTGCCCGCGCGAAGGAGACTACCGCCCAGGTGAAGTCAGAGCTCTCCGAGAAGGGTGAGCTCCCTGAGAGCGACGACTTGCTTCCCAAGGCTTGGCACGACTCGGAAAGCAAGAACGAGACCCCGTCCGAGAAATAAAGCAATGCGCAACTCGTGTGTTGAAAATGCATGACATGGACCAACGGAACAGAGTCGGATTTTTTGGATTATCTCGGTGGATAAAATCTTAAAAGTTTCATGAGGCTAGATCTGAACTGCTCTGGGTCCGCGAGGAATATTTTGGGATTGGTTGGAGGCTGTGTGTATTCTTCTGTACTATATACCCTTTTTCCACCTTCCCCAGTTTGTTTCTCTGTCGTGTCCTATCTATAAAGCTATCTCACGTCATCTCTCTTCTATTGTTCTTCCCTATGTTGTCTTCCTTTTTCTTTTTGCGTGTGAAGCCTCAGCATCCATTCCCACTTTTGCCTTGTATTTTTCCCCCTTCACCATGTAACTTATTGTACTTGTACGCTGTGGCCTTTCGGAAAGAGTCCTGATAGAAATAGAGTCTGCTTTCTACTCCGCAGTATGCTTGGTTACATTGCTTGTTGAGCGTCTCGGCTGTGATGAATGTTTACAGGATAGTTGCAGTTCACGTGGTACGGATCTTAGGGTTAAGAAGAAACAACATGGCATTATCATCATTAGCAATTTTCCATGCAAATTGTTGGATCTCTGTGGCAATTTTAAATCGATCCTTATAAAATTCAGCAAGGTCCCAGTCACTTATCCACATTGCTGAGCTCATGCAGCGTCGCAATAGGGAAGTCGTGCAGATGATCATAACACATCTCGTCACAGTCTCATGGCGTTGTCCTTTCTGTTGTCCGAGAGTTGTATAACAGTGAGTTGAATCCTGCATCAATTCTTCCCGGGCAAGTGTCTCAGAGTAAGTGCAAGACTGGGTTGACATGCACAAGACATATTTGGGCCCTTAAGAATAAACTTGTATTCTTGTAAATATGGGTTCCAGATGAGCTTCGACGTTGTGTCTTTCACCAGACATGAAAACGCGGTGACTTGTCAGGAGGTCCCGCGGAAGGTCTGCGGCTGATGCAAAGAAAAAGCGCATCAAGGTACCTGGTACTGATGAAGTCGGTGATTCGGTACCCTTTCATATAGTGGATTAGAACCCCTTCGGCCAGTTTACCAGTTCACGTCGCTCAGCTGCAACTTGCGAGAACGAAATGCCGTCCGATTGCCACCAGACTTATCGACTCTGGAGTCGCGAGGGGAACGTTTCTCGAGTGCTGGGTGTAGGTTAGCAATGAGTAGCAGTTGTAAATTATAGGATTGTCTCACCCTCGGCAGTTTCCGCCTCATTGGACATCTCATAATTAAGCACCAGGTTCTTGATCCGTTGTTGTTCTTCTCGATCAGCTTGCTGTTGACTTCTCATGGCAACTGCAAAACTAGAATCAGACGGCAGGTCGATAGTACGAGTCTAGTCTCAGTCAGCAGGCTGCACTTTAGATATACGAACATGAATAGGCAAACCTGTTGCTTGTTGCCCTTTTTGGTCATCAAGGAGAAAGCCATCGTACTGGGCTGGGGCTGGGGCTTCGGTTGCGGTTGCGGCTGGCTAATCTCAGGGGCACTTTCACCTGCCGCATCCCGAGGAGCTCGTTTCATGGGAAGAGGTATATCGAATACACCCTTACGCTCGAACTTTCGGGAATCCATGCTCTCTGCCATCATCTTTTCAAACTCACGATCGAACTCGGCTTCGGCTTCAGGATCTCGTTCCTCCTCTTGGCGTGTAACGAAGATTTGTTCGTCTTCAGAGTCACTATCACCGTTTTGTTCGGCATTGGGCCCCGATGCCTACGAGACATTTGTCAGCACAACTCATTTGAGTCTATATGCAGCGTATCTAAAACTCACCTCAGCTTCGTCGCTGGACTCCCCGTCCTCGTCCACCTCGGGCATGACATCATCCTCGAAGCCGTCATCAGATGAGCTACTTTCCGCATCGTCATCATCTGGCTCTACAGGCCTCTCGGCATCTTGTGTTTTGTAGTTCTGAGCTACAGCCTCGCCGAAGATACGGGTGGCCTCTTCCAGGTCGGTGACTAACTTCCACTGAGGACGAGTCATAGAGAATGTATCTTGGACAAGGAAGTCGATGTCCATGGGCAGTGGATCTTTTGTCGTCATGTAGTACTACATGGTCAATTAATAACATATCCAATCAAGAGCGCTTGGCAACGGTTATTACCTGGAAGAACGTCAAGAAGAAGTCCAACTTCTTTTTAGCAGAGCCACGGTCAAAGCAGTGACCACAGGTATCCAGGAGAGTGCAAACCAAGCGAACTCGGAAAAAGTCATCTGGTAAATCTAACGGGTTCAGTTTCCCCGGGACCGGTGTGCCACCCTCTGTATTATCATTAGTATTGGGATACTATTTGATGCTCGCTTTGGCTTACCATGACCAAAAGTAACAATCCTGTACAAGGTATCAAAGATAACAGGAGAGTCGATCATTTTGTAGTTATACAACTCTCCGAGGTACTTGACTTCGGCGACGCGCTTCTGGTTGAACTTGAAGTCGTTCTGCTCAAGGCCCAATGTGATTTGCTCGAGGACGTTGTCGACGATGCCAATAACAAAATCCTGGTGATATCTGTACAGAGCGCTGACCAAGATCGCTAGAAGGTGGATATTGCCATATTTCACCTTCACGGGTTTGCTGAATACACGCTCTATAATATCAACAACCTGGAAGCGGTATTAGTAACCTTTATTGGGAAAAGAAAACACCAACTCCAACGGATTTCCTACTTCTTGTTCCTCCCAATGTAGTTTCCGAATTGACTTCAATATCCTGGTATAATTGCGCTTGTTCATATCCAAATAGATAAGCCTCCTGATGTAAGACTCCATAGGAGTACGCTCTTTCTGTTGAATGGCAGGCCGGGGTGGAGGATCAACGTAGTAAACCGCATTTTCAATGATCATTCGTTCTTGTTGACCCAGATGCTGAACAGTTTTCTTTCTCCCAAGAGTTTCCAAAAATGAGGCCATTCGGGGGGAAGTCTCGGGGTTGCGAAGCAGATACCGTCCACAGTTCTCTAAGAGATAACCAATGATTTCAATATTCATTCGTGAGAAGTCGTCAAGTGAGACCTTGAAACAGTGGAAAATAATATGCTCCGGGACCACTCCGAACTTGGTCAACTCTGCGAGATAGCGCACATTGCTCATACGAACCTGCCCCAGAAACTCTTTGGACTTGCGGCGTTGAAGGCTTCGGAACTCTTCGTCCAGATAAGTAATCAATCCCTGCGGTATATCTGGTAAATACTGCCCGAGAGTGGCCACCAGGCGCGAGTACAAGGGTAAAAGATCGATACGCCCCTTTGGCACATCCGACACAGCCTTAATGAGCCTGTTTCTAGATGCTTTGGAGTTGAGAAAGCAGAAGTCGAGAGCTAACTGATCAACGTGATCCTTCGTCTGCAAATCGGGGAGCTTAGCCAACAGCGCATCGACTTGGGCTCCCACAGTTTTGCTTGCAATGGCCATAGACTGATCGTCTGCATCCGCAGTAGCCCTGTCTTCTGATGTCTGGGCCGGGGCCGGTTCAGACTTGTCCGAATCCTCACCGTCTTTCTTTTTCCCTGCTTCATCGGAGTCGGTCTTCTTCTTCTTACCGTCCTCCAGGAGAACGGCTGGAACCTTGCCTTTGAGGTCAACCAAGTTCTCATAAAAGCGCCTCTCTTCTTCGTCTTCCCAGATACCGGCACCTTCACCCTGGCCGCGTAGGTACTCAGACGTTTTCACAAGCCCGATGCCTCCACTTGACGCAGGGTCGGCAGATTCCTGCTCAGCTAATGCGGGCATTTCCGCTCCTAATGCCTCACACAAGACCTGCGTGTTGGCAACCAACTTTTCCAAAGATTTGCTTTGTTTCTCAAAGTTGGCCTGGCGGTCCTCAAAGATTTCACCACTCTTGACATAAGCCTCAGCGTTACGGCGACTCTGGGCTGCCAGTGCTCTTTGGTCACGAACCACATGCGCCTTGACGTCTTCCAGGTACCGATTCAGGATGCTCTTGAAGCGAGCCTGTGTCTTCTCTGGGGTGAGAGGAGGGTCATTTTCAGCTGCCGTCACATCTCCCGCGCCCTCCTCGCCATTCGTGGCCTCCGCAGGGGTCGTCGCTCCATCAGCCTCTACGGTTTTCCTTCCTTCGTCGACAGTCTTCGCTCCGAGAATATCCCAACTGAAGCTCTTGACAAACAAAACGGCGAGTGGCAGATTGGTGTGGTCACGGTCATGGCCCAATAGGTCCTTCAACACTTCCAGGGGAAACGGCTCTGCTTCCTTATCACTGTCTCGGACGGCCGACGGGGCCTTGGCTTTGACTGGGTTTTCTGACGCCTTTCCACCTATCCCAACGACACCCTCTTTGCCCTTGGCACCCAAATCCTCCGGTCGTTCGATATCGTCCAGCGTCCTGAGTACACCAACCAACCAGAGTTCCGTAACCACTCTCAGCAAAACTCGATGTCGGGATAACCGTTCCTTTTCTTCGCGTTCGCGCACCTCCTGGCTGAGCGCTTTCAACTGTCCCTTGTCCGGTGTGCTAAGTCCTCGACCCAGTAGCCATCCAATTTGTCTCGTGAACTCGGCCGGTCCGAACCTCTGGTGCAGTGCGCTCGTGATTTCCACGCCTGTGGCAATTTCCCCAGGCGATTTCAATTTACAAAGCCCTTCATAGCAAGCGGATATAATTTCTGAGAGATATTTATGGAGCGACAGAGTGCGGATATCGGCCAGGAAGGTCTGCTGGGCGGAAGCATTAACTCCGGTGCGTAGACGCTTGATGAAAGCGGTGTTTTTCTTCAACGCTGAATCAAGGGATCTGCCAACTGGAAAGATATCTATTTTCATGCGGTTGGGCGGTTAGATTGGAACCTGTTGTGCGGGACATTGTATTGGGACGTCATTACCACTCTCACCAGCCCAAGCTCTCTCATTGAGATCGCGAAGCTCCCCTAGAACAAGAACCTTAGTTAGAAACAAAACATGTACATGGTAAATGAGAGTTGAAGACAGGGTGCGGGGTACACACGCTTCCTTTGACGATCCATCTCTTACTGCCGTTTGTTGTCCGCACAGTAATCCCGCAGTGTCGATTAACTATCGTGGGGTCCTTTCAAAGAGTCGGAAAGGAAAGCGCATAAGTGACTTGAACGCCACATTGGTGAAGCACGTTGGGACCGAGCGCTGCGCAACGTCTTGAGCTTTCTGTCACCGTGCGCCAGGGTGGAGGTGCTTTTAAGAAAAGCTGTGTCGGAGACACTGCGGCGGCGAAAGTGGGAGCCGAAGGCGGTCCTGTTGCTAGTTTCCTGACCAATCCACACCGCGGTTTTCCGCGCGGGTCTAGAAGAACTACTCCATGTCCTGCCTTGAACTACTTTGAACCCAATCGTTTCTACTTTCTTTCTGATGATCTTTTGCTATTTGAATACTATAAACCTTTCTGATCTGTGCCAGTACCATGATTAATCCTTCTCTCCTTCTCCATCGTCCACTACGTACTGATATTCCGATCTCCACGACTAAGGCTGCAAGATATATCACTGTAGATCCCTTACTGAAATGAGGTCTTGGTGAGCTTATTGCTATTAATCAATTTGTTAGACATACATCAATAAACACTAGACATGAGAAGGAAAGAGGCATTGGTTCAAGGAGAAAACGCGAACAAAATCCGAAACAGCCCGCTGTCAGTTGGATCCTATCCACCTAATCATAATCCCATATCAAGTTAGACAGGTTTCATGATCTGGTCCATTGCACCTTCAATCATCAGTTATTCCGTCATTCATTCATTCATGAGACTTCGTGCGACGATTCGGTGAAGCCAGTCTCCTTCCCTTCTTCCACTCCCAACAGCCAGGCCTGAAGCTCATGCTTCCTGTCCTCTTCATTCCAGCTCTGGCGTCGATCAATCATTGGCTTCCACCCCTCGCTCGAAGTTCGACTATCTCGATCGACATCGGAAGCTCTCGGCAGTGCTTCCTGGTCGTTTGCATAAGGTTTGGTAGTTGGTTTCCCAGGAAGCAGGATGGTTCGGTGAGTTTGGGGAATTTCTCCTTTCTGGCCTGCAGATGACATCTTGGGGAACTACTAGTAGTAAAGTAGAGCCTGGCCAGGTGAATGGTTGTACGTTGATAGTGAGGTATGGCAAATGGTAACTGTAATCTTTAAGAGGCTTTGCTTTGAGGGCACCGATCACTTTTTTGGAGCTAAGCTGCAACCCTTCAGTAAAGGCAAATATATCAAAGCGTAAAACCCACGTTACGGGTCTGCGAGGATACTAGTTATATGGCTCTCGTCGTCACTGCGTAACAGTGACATGCCATGTCATACGTTGTGGCGAACCTGGAGATTTATTGACGCTCAGGCCGACTGAATCGAAATCATATATCGGGCGAGAGGATAAGTCAACTGTCCGTTGTCTTTCGAAACCCCATGTATTATTGTTGAGGAGATCAGTTGCAAAATCACCATGAAGTCATGCTTGCCTCCCGTCGGTCGAGATAATGTCACCTGGCGCTATACCCGAATCAGTAATTATAACGACATACCTCCAGATATTCAGATCGCCACATCACCTAAATCCAATCCAGTCTACCATCTTTTGTGGAATGGCTCATCGTATAAAGCTCCAACTTCATCAAACCCGAGTGTGCACCATTCAAGCTAAGTGATGACTCCATGGCTCAAGCTTCTGCGAACATCAAGGATATACGGCATGGCAAAGTTCAGAGGCGAATACCGACAACATAAAATGGCCCAGATGTCGATGTGTTCCGCTGGTGAGCCCGGAGGTCAACAGGAAGCCGGTACTGAGAATTTCCTGCAGACTGCTTTCCTTGCACCGGACATGTATGGTGGGATTTACGTAGACCTGAACACCTTGCTGAAACCACCTCGCTGCCAAATTGAACTTTGGCTTCGCATCTCGCCTGAGTGACCTCATGATTGGCTATCAACAGTTCGATACTGCCTGTTTTGGTGAACAACTGAAAGATCTACGTAGCAAGCAATCAGCAATGAATTGGTATCCACTGGCCGAACGCCATTATACGATCTCCCCCCAGCAATTTGGGCTCAACTATGGACTACATCCATTGCAATCCCAGTTTGCTCCATCCACGGTGTCTGGAGACTATCCGCAAAAGCCAACACGATCATCTTGTCTTCCACGTTGAAGTCTGGGCGCAACCAAAGGAATTGGGCTAGACCTGCAAATACTGCCCACGACGAGCCACCACAGAGCAATCTTCTTCATGTACAAGTCTACTCGCCATCCGAAAGGAATCCTGGTCGGTAGTTTTGACCCAGGGATCTGGGGTTCTTTGTTCCAGCACGCTGGGCACAAAGTCATACCCAATCCCCTCTACTTTATATTCACTTTTCTTATTATCGAGTGTCTCCGGATGTGCCAGGGTAGATCCGACTGGGTCCACGCCAATGACAGACATATCTTGACTCTTCTAGGCGATTCAGCTACACCAAAGGCGTAGCGCCAACATGGTCTGCAACACACCCGCTCAAAGGCTGGCCAATATATGGGGGCGCCATCGTCTTATACTTCACATCGGTAGAGACAGAGTAGTACATAGACCGTACAAGAGAAAGCTAGGCGGGCAAGGAGAGAGCTGTTTATTAGATACCGGTATCAATTAAAACATCCTCGATGTGGCATCGACCTAATTCATTCCATTAATAACAACTCTGTAAATATGCAAGGATATCTGAACAACTGGAACCAACAACGCCCTTGACATTTCCTAATCGAGTAATTTAGTCATAGTTCTAAACGACGGAGTCCCCACTTCCCATGCCCAAAATGGACCTCATAAAGGCACACAACGCATGAACGAGAAACTTCCAGCCAGTTATTCTACAGGCATTTTTCCACATTGGTATTCGTTATAAATACCCTATTCTAGACTCTGCCCTGTACATCCTAGCAAGGATATAAACCGAGGAAAGTGAACGTCGATATCACAATTTTCCACTAAATCTCTCATCAAAACCAACCCAACCCAGACCAAATACAGCAAGGAAGAGAAAGAGATAACAATGGCGGCATCCAGAGAAAAAGAAGTCCTCCAAAACGCAGCAGGCCAACTCCGCCTCATCAAGCACTTCAAGACTCAGTGTGTTTCCCTCTTGCTCTCATGATACTCCAAAGAATGAACACCGACTAATACTCCGACCAGTTCACCAGACAACCAAACAGCAGGATGGTCCAATCTCTGGGACACAAACAGCAGCAACCTCTGGGATAGAGGTATGCCCTCTCCTGCACTGATCGATTTCATAGAGGAGCGATTAAACCCGCTTACGAAAGACGGGAGAAGGAAAAAGGCACTTGTTCCAGTACGTCTTTCCCCCCTTTCCCTGGTCTCTTCTTCTTCTTTTATCGTCTCTATACCTTTCTAGAAGGAAATACGTGGCCAGGTCCTAGTCACAGTTACTAGTAACACCCCAACAAGAAACTAACAATACCCCCAGGGCTGCGGAAAAGGCTACGACGTAGTCATGCTCGCGCTCCACGGCTTCGAGGTCTTCGGACTCGAAGTCTCAGAAAGAGGTGCTTCTGTCGCGCGGGACTACGCACGAAATGAATTGCATAGTCCGCAGAACTACAACTTCGGCTCCCACTACAAAGTAAATCCGGGAGTAGGGAAGGGCGAAGTGACCATTCTTCAGGGCGACTTTTTCAAAAGGGATTGGGAGGACGGGATGCAGTTCGATTTGATTTATGATTATACGGTTCGTTTTACCCTCCTTTCCTCTTTGTTGGGCTTGGAGGTGATTGATAGGTTGGTTGGCGAGTGAGTGGTACTGACGCGTATACTAGTTCCTCTGTGCGCTTCATCCAAATATGCGTCGTCAGTGGGCTGGGAGAATGGCTGATCTGCTTGCGCCGAGTGGGTGGCTTGTTTGTCTTGAGTTCCCGTTGTTTAAGGACCCGAAGATGCTTGGTCCGCCTTGGGGGTTGAAGGGGGTGCATTGGGATCTGTTAGCGGAGGGCGGAGATGGGATTGTTGGTGGAGATGTTGGTGAGGATGCTAAGGGGGAGGGCAAGGGCGCATTTGAGCGGTTGTTGTATTTGAAGCCGGAGAGGTCGTATGCGAATGGGAAGGGGACGGATATGTTGAGTGTGTATGTCAAGAAATCTACATAGTGTTCTTTGCTATGATTCACCATGGTGTATTTCAAACGGAGAGGTAGATATTTGATATCCATCAATTGCCCCTTCGCCTAGACCTTGGCATAAAGTGGCTCAACACCATATCTTAGACCCTCTCTAACCCTCCGCCCATCATTATCACACACCCGCTCGTCAGCCCCATACTCCAGAAGTAACTCCACACAATCTGCATGTTCTTCCCTCACGGCATAATGCATCGCTGTCCATCCATGGAATCCCTGTCTATTGACGTCGGCGCCGGATTTAAGCAAAAGTCTCAGAATATCTACATATCCGTACCGAGAAGCCAGGTGCAACGGCGTCCATATATGCCGATCCGGTACATCGACAGTTGCCCCCGCTTGCAGTAACTGTCGGACACTGTTGAGGTTATTCTGGCGCACTGCGGTATGGATGGCCGCTTCACCATTGTATTTCTGTTGGTCGACTGGTGCTCCGGCGCATAAGAGCCTGGGTAGTAGCGCCTTGGTGGGACAGCTTGTTGATACAGCTCCATGGAGATGGTATCTGGTTTTACGGCGGATCTCGTGGACAAGGTACCTGTCCATATAAGGTGTCAAGAAAGTGGAAAATCTTCGATTGATGAGTCGGAGATTGAGGAGGTCATTCTTAGTGCATAGCTTAGTTTTCACAGTTAGATATCTGTGTATTTGGCATGGTTCCGTTTGGTTGTGGGGACTTATTGACTGACCTGGACTAGATGGTGCAGGATGTCAACGGGTATATCATCTAGGGATACCATATTTAGTGTTGATGGGCTGAACGTCTTCGTTCTTGCTGTCTTCTGGGTGTTATCTTGAGAAACTTGGCATTTTGGCCAGCAAGTCTGGATAAGACAACTCTTGAAGATACAGATCTCGAGTCACTGAAGCAAGCCTCGTACTTGGGCTGCTAGATACTTCTGGTAAATAAGAACAGGTTGGTCCCCACGTTGGGTTTGTCAGCTGTGTTGCGGTGTAGACGTCCATTGCGCCCTAATTATTACCCGTTCGGGACATTGATAGAGACCATTCTGCTGTCCATGAGCCATTGTACAGTCATTTCAAGTACCGGCTTTACATGATTACTTAAACTTCTAAGCAGTTAAATATATGCACTCCCATAGACATAGTCATCAAAACCGTTCAATGTCAATCAGCATCTCTAAACTGGACGGTTCTGAGACTCACGCGCCGTCCGATCCGGCAGACTCCGGCTTGCCTATCACGGAAGCCCTAATAGAACCAGTTAACATACCCTCTCCACCTCCCATGCTATAACGCATGTCTAACATAAACGACGGAGGTCTCCCTAGCCACGACCTCCTACTCACTCTCCGCCATCCACAATTGCTAGACCCAGCTAACAACACGTTCTCATCATCCTATATCCAAAAGCCTTTGATGCGTGGTGCAGACATCCGGCTACATGCTGCCAAGAGGTATATCAATAGACATGGTGGCATTCCCCTGTTTTACTTGAACTAAGTGATGGGGGCGATATCGGTAATCCGGATGTATGCAAGGCCTTGTCATTCAGCCAGAACGCAATGGGCACTGTCCCCGGTCCCTTCTCTTGTTGGCTTGCGCACCGCGGCGGGAAAACCATGCATCTGCGGGCTCTTGCTGCGGCTCGCAATGCCCGTATCCAGGCCGAAACCCTCAACAGTCTGCTAGTTATCCAGGTAACCTTGGCCATCTGCAGCGCGGTGTTGCGGTTAAGTAGTATCGCGTTAGGTTAGGCGGTGATGTACCTGCGACTGAGACACATAAGGCGACGTCTTGAGAAGTGCGCGAAGAGGGTGAGGTCTATGATAATTTGATTCAGTTAAGTGTAGGCATCGAGGATGTGGAGTATCTGAAAGAGTATGTGCTGTGTGTCTTGGAAGTGGTGCCTGGACAAATTAACAGAGACAAGCAGGGCTTTCCGAGTGCATCTAAGGTCTAAAATTAAAACGAACTAGATATTTTTTGTGTCGATAAAGAAACTCTGTTAACATACATCATAACTGTGTCCAAAGTGGGTGGAATACAATACACCAGCATGTCACTGGCAGGATAAGAATCCAGATCAAGTCATACAGGCATGTCAATAGACGGCGCCTCCACAAACAGAAAAACAAGGTCATCACTGTCGATACAACTCCAGTACAGACCAGAATTAACATGGGATCAGGATAATCAACCGTGGAATGAGTGTGGACGTCCCATGGGGACAACAGCACATTACCTCGGGCGCTCAACGTAAGAAGCATGAGGCAACGCGTGCAAAAGAAAAATATTCACCGTTTGTCGTACACCTTCATAGAACAAAAACCAGACAGGGTATGCCACGCCACGCTATGCGAGTCCAGAAGAAAAAAAACAGAGAGAGAAGGAAAGAGTCATTGCAACTATGTACTAAGAACAAGAACCGTCCAGAGAGTTTTTGTGGGTCATCCTCGAGTGAAGGTAGCTTGCCTCCAGTCACTTGATTCATTTTGGCTTACGCCAGAAGTATTGCTGCTAAAGATTAGCCATATATCAACAAGTCCTTGTTATCATGCAAGCATACCTTGTGTTGCTTTCGGCAGCTCCGAAGACCTGGCTTCCTGAGATCATGCACCACAGCTTCTCGTCGCATCGTGTCATCATCATAGTCGGGAACATAGTAGTATTCACTCTCGAGCGGCTTCCCTGCAGCATCCTTCCCTTCCCTTGCGACCTTTCCAATACACTTCGTGGTGTCAATGATGACACGAATCTCATCCCGTGTAGGTCCTTCCCTTGAATGTGTATCCCGCCTCCAAAGGGAGGGTGGGAGGTTATTCAAAATTGTCGAGAAGGGCGTTGAAGAAAGGCGAGAAAAGGCCAGTTGATTGATGGCATGATTCTGAACTCTCTCAAAGCTCTCATCAAGTGGCCTGCTTAGTGCAAGATCTACCCTCTCGGCCGGCTTAGCTAATTGTCTAGGAGAGTGAGCAGGGCGAAGCGGTTCAGCATGGTGCTGGTTACGAGGACGCGAGGGGCGCAGTGGTGACCCATCAGCAGTGAAAGAAGCCATGCGGGGCAAGATATTGTCTCCAAAAGGCCCAAAAGAATGAACGATGGGGTCATTCTCTTCATCGTGGTCCGACAAATCATCAGGCTTACTGAGATCACTCAGGTCACTCGACTGCGAGCTCTGCAAGAGGTCCCCTTCACTGGAGGTAGACTTAAGGGTCACTTCAGACAGCAAAGCATCTCCTGAGCTTTTACGGCGGACGGGAGACGGTTCATCCTCATAAACAACCACGGCGTTTCTTGCACGTGTTGGAGTGTACAGTGGCGAGGATGGTGGAATTAGTGACTTGATTGCAGGAGAAGGCGAGACAGGGGAAGCCAAGCGCTGGCGTTCCACGTTAGGACTGTCGTGCAAGCTTCGACGAGACTGCCTGTTGCGTCGTGGGGTAGCCTCTTCCCAGGTCTGCTCCGAATCGGTAGATGCGTAGTCCTTTCGTTCATTTCGCGGCCATTGGACCAAAACACGTGCATCATGGACATCAATCATGATATCTGCATCTTTGATATCGGACGTGAAAGTCTTTCCCTTGGCCAAGTCATACGTTTTCCCCTGGCAATGAAGCTTGATTCCGTTCCAACCCATGCACATTATCTCAACTCTATCACGATCGAAGGGATTAGGTGCAGGCTTATAGGTAGCCTTGACGTGAACCCTCGAAATCATTCGGTTGGCAGCGAGTTGATGATGGCAAGATGCACTGGATCTGCCCATGAGAAGAGGCTCCCCAGTCTCCGGGAGCATCATGGTCGGTACAGCAGACAGAGGAGTTCGTTCGGAATTCGATGATGTCAAGGGTCGACGCGACGCCATTCGAGGGGGTGAGGAGGACATGATATGGGTCGATGACGTCGGAACAGGAGTTGGATATGTTGACACAATCCCATGATCATCGCGAGCTACACGCTTCTGGGGTCGAGGAAGAGAAGGCGAAGAACTCAATGGCTCAAAGGCAGGTAACAAGGTCGCTGGACGCTTCACACCTGCCACAGAAGCAGTCGAACTGCTCCTTGGAGGAGAAGACTCCATGATGTGAGAGGCGTCTCCCAGATAGTTAGCAAGTTTTCAATAACCTTGAATAAGTCTAAGGTAGACAAGATTCAATTTGAGGTCGCGTCGAGGCTGGGTAGGGGCTATTTCTATAGAGGACGAGTCGAGAGACAAGAAATGCAGGTAGAAAAAGAAGAGATGAACGAGACGTGTAACCGCAAGAGATTGGACGTCAATTCTTCTCCCAGAACGAAGTTCAGGTGGTTGGGAGGCACAGAATTGGCCTACAAAAGAATGAAGAGCATTAAAGAAAAGGGTGAGTGAGGGATAGTGTGTGGTGGAATGCCTACCGGAACGGAGCGTCTCTCGTCCAGCGCGGAAATGCACGCTTACAGCCCGAGACGCGTTCGATAGGCGCCGGCGAGGGTCTGGGAGCTCCACCACGGACGTCGCGCAGCCTCAGAGCCTGGCCATTTTGAACTCTGTTTTGCACTGCATCTCTATACCGGATTTTTCAGACAGGCAAATCTCAAAATTGGACAGGAGACGATTCCAGCAAACACCTCATGAGTTATAGCTCTCTGGACCCCCGTCGTTTTCTAGATAGATGCCCGAGGCAGAAAGGCGCGTCCCCGCGTCTAGAGTCATGTGCTCCGCGTTCTTTGGGTCAAGTCCCGTGACTCGCGCCAAATCACGTGATGAACACCTGCAGTGACTTTGCCGAGAATAGCAAAGGCCATGTGCAGCTTGCAGGGTTTTCGCCCATCTCATTGGACGGCACGATGCACGGTGGTGGTGACAGGACCTTGGCCGGTGGAGTATGAGGCTACTACTACTACGATGGCAAAATACGTACAGAAGAATTTGAAGGAGGGGTTCCGCGGGATAAAAAAACTGGTTCAATTAATCACCTATGGCGTAATTCGCAATGTTGCAAGTCTTGGACCTTTTCATGGGCATTCCCTTTCCAGGATATTCCCTCACGGTAAAGCGTAGACCCTACATACGCGTCTCGCCTGCAACGCTAAAGGGGAAAACTTATCTTACTACTCGGTACTATCATTACTCGAAACATATGTAACGGAGTCGTGCCCTAAGTATGCACGCGACTGACTCGGTACGAATATCTTGATAATCACGACGCCCAGCCTTCGCGTTTCCATGTTGCAATTCAAACTGGAAGTGCTCACCGACCGTCACAACAGCCCACTTAAATTAGAGATAAAACAGATAAAGATGTACATCAAAATGGAGCAAATTAAAAGAGCAGAAGTGAAATTGGACTGCAGTTGTTTACAGCAAAGTTTCACAAATGTGTGGCCATCGTCGATTCGAGGAATCGAGACAGCGTGCCAAGTACACCTCGCCCTCCTCCCTGCTATCGTGCATGGTTCTCCCCTACATCCTTCTCATCGAACACAGTAATCCCTAGCCAAAGGAGTAGAATTCAATAACAGCAAGCGAAACCAAGTGATGAAGGGCTTGCACTGTAGAGGACATTTCTTATGTTAGTCTGGACCACGCTACTCCGTACAGTGCTCAGAGAGTCCGTCTGGAATATTCAAAGATTTATGGTACATACTCCGTGATTTCAGCCAGTCTACGCCACGAAAACTCCGCTATTTTATGGAATCATCATAATGAAAATGTTAACCATTCTGGCATAATAAGCATGTACAAATATAAAAACCACCATCAGTTACTTGGCACTAGAGAAAGAAATATCTAACCACAATCGTCTCTACCAAGTGGTAAAGGCGGTAAAGCGTGACAAGAGCAACTCCTAAGTCACATAATGTAATATACTAAGATACACAGAAGAAAGCAAGCAACTGGACTTCAGATCATGAAGACGAACATGGCATGAAAGGAGCCGGCGATCTATTTACCCAGGCCAGTCGAGCCGGTTGATGGTGGCCAAGTCACGTAGCGGATGTGCCCGTTTGCAGCGATGCAGTATCGTCAGGGTATTTAATAGAAGACGAAGGTAGCTTCGCCAGACATAACTTGAACCTGTCATTGGATAACCATGTGAGTGAGGATACCTCGAGTGGAAAAATAAGGAACGGGATCTTACAGTGCAACCAGAGTCATTGCTGCCGGTTTCAGAGGTGAACTTGCCGTTCTCGTATTTACAAGATCCGCTGAGGTTGTCACCCTGGATCTTAATGTTGAAGTCAAGCTTCTCGGAGGTAGTGGGGCTGTTCTGGAAAATAGAAAGCCACTTGCCATTGTTCTCACCGACACCAAGGTTGATGGGAGCCCAGTTACCAATAGGCTTGGAGCCGTCACCCCACTGGCAGCCCTCCTTCGTGCTGGTACCCTTGGGGTTGACATAGTACTGAGCGGAGGTAACCTTGCCCTGCCACTTGAAGTAGGTGTTGCCGTCAGGGCAAGTCAGGGGCTGAAGCTCATTGTCGCCAAGGGCGAGAGGGATGGTCTCAGCTTCGGTACCTAGACGCAACGATGAGAAATGATTCCTATACCGACATGCCTTCATGAATAAGCTTACCAGGGTAGTCAGTACGGCAAATGGCAATCTCCTCGCCCAGGTTGTTCTGAGCATGAACACCACCAACACCCTCAATGCAAAGCTTCTTGGACAGGGTGGGGTTAGTAAGGTAGAGCTTGCCAGCCTTACATTCGAGGCCACCAACGGACTGGCCGGTGGCACCCTGAGTGGAGGGCCACTGAGACTTCTGATAACCAGCGGGGCAAGCGTACGAGCACATGGCTCCAGAAGTACATTTGTCACCAGTAACAGCAGTGACAATGTCGCTCACAAACTTGCCAGCGAGGCTGACATACTGAATACCAGACCAGCCACCGAGATCCAGGTAGTCAAGAGCGACGGCACCATAGTCAGATGGGAAAGTACCGCAGTCAATCTCTCCATCAGGGAAGTCGGAATCCACGCCCTTAGCACCAGAGCTGCTCGACTTCGTGGGGGTGCTCGAGGAAGCAGCGGACGAAGAGGTTGCAGAGGTGCTGGAGGACGAAGCTGGAGTGGCGGAGGAGGAAGTCTCCACGAACTGAGCTGGAGCTTCGGTGGGCACAGCAGCCGCGGTAGAGGAAGAGGATGAGGCAGGAGCGCTAGACTGGCAGGCATCAACGGCGGGTTGACCGTCTTTGTACTTGAGCTCTCCCTTTCGGATACCAGTGCACACAAACTCGCTGGAGACCACCTGGCCTTGATATTCGTACTGGACAACAGTGGCGCCGCCGGCCTCGACGAGCTGAGTCTCAACGGTACGCTTGTGGTGATGACGGTGGGCGTTGTGATGCTGACCGGCCACGAGGGACCCAGCCGTCGCCAAGGTAAGAGCAACAGAGTTGAACTTCATCGCGTTTGTGTCAAGTCGGAAGTTCAACCACAAAGTCCTTCAATAGTTGGTTTCAGGTTTGGACTATTTCGATCAAGAACACTAGTTAGCTTGCGCATATCCATGAGCCAATTGCCGAGTCACATGTGAACAAATCGCGCGACATGTCGTTGATCCACGCATGCTGCCATACAACATAGAGATGTTGACGACGGCAGTAGGTCAGAATGCGACATTGGTAGCACAGCCCATAGCCGCCAAACGTTCCGAGCACCACGGCGAACAATGACAATAGTCCCAGGCGAGAAGCAAGTTGGAGGGATTGCCCATCAATTTCTCATGATGAGGATACATACCTCAACGATACAGTAAAACCCGGTGCGCGCTTCGATCAAGGTCTGTACAGAAGTCGAAGTTGCAGAAGTGCTGTGGCTGTAGATCTTATAGAGGCACGAAGTGAATTATGAGAGTGTCCAAGGAGCGAATCACGGACGAGGTTTCCAAATGAGTGTGCGAGAGAGAAACAAGTCTCTCTGGTCGGATGGGAAACTTCAACAGGTCAACAGGCGAAAGCGGAAGAAATGAAACGCTCTGGGGGAGGAGGAGTAAAATGTGGAGGATCGCGAGGAGCAGAGGGAGTTGGGAGGGAGATGAAAAGAGAGAATTAAACTTCGTCGGTCAGTCGCCCAGGGGCTAAAAAGAGGGACAAGACGTGCAGACCCTTCCAGGGGGAACTAAACTAAACTAAAGAGAGAGTGTGTGTGCGCGTGTGGCACTGTCAGTGATGGGCAGACAGACAAAGAGAGAGAGGCAATAGTCACCATAATAATAATAGGGGTTCCACTTCCAAGACTCACAACACTGTATTTAGAGTTGTTGTTTAGGAGTGTTACCGTACCGTACGTACCATACCGTCCTGATATAGGTACGCATCTACAGTCGAACCGGCCTCCCACAACATGTAGAGTGGATATACGAGGAATAGGGGGGTGGAAACACCACAGGAATTGGCCCAAGGCATCATCCACGGCCATCATCAAAGCCTCTGAGAATGGCAGCCTTTGCAAGTGGGGGACGCCGAGGAAGACGTGTCCACAGCCGCCTAGAATTGTGTTGGTTTCTTGACTAATTGACTAATCTCCAACGAATTTTCAGTACCTGACTAGTATTGTCCATTCCAATACCTCTCTCCTCCCTAGGACTTGTCTGGAACCTCTCCAATACCACCTCAAAAGGCCGCCATGCAAAATGGTGGTTCATTTGTCCTTTTTTTTTCCCCCCCCTTAGACCTTCCTTTTCATGTTTAGGAGTTTCCTGTTCCTGAATGCACTGTTTGGCGGTTGCCGAAATTACTCTGGGCCCGGTCTAGCCAATCAGCACGGTCACACAGGCATTGGCTGGTGGAAAATTGACTTTCCCCTCAGTCAGGTACACCAATCACCCGCGAGCAGAGGTCCCGAACGATTGCCACAAAATTCGACACCCAGGGAATGTCTCATGTCCGATCGTTATGTTTGGTTGCATTAGGGCCGCCGGTATTATTAGCACTTCCTGAAGGAGCCCCTCAAGGCTGAGGTACCTTTTTACCTATCGACCTTCCATGGTTAGGAAGAAGAAGAAGAAGAGCACCGAATATGGAGTGTTATCTCTTTTGCTAATTCTTTTTCCATTATTCATTGTTCATTATTAACCAATGAGTCACCCCAAAAGGACGCAATAATCGAACACCAATAATATCCGAGTGTTTGCTTTGGCCATGATCTTGATTCTGCCTACTGCACGGCCGTACGGTAGCGCAACGTGCCCGTGACTGACCCATTAAGGGGCAGACTCTGGGTGTCATCGCAGAAATCGGCGCTCTTTCTATCATAATTCTTTTGCTTTTTACTCACCCAGTGAATCCGACCAGCCTCGACCGCATGTTATAGCGGAGTATGTATTAATAGCCGTCGGGGTAGCCGTACCCGTCTTACTACTAGTAGTAATATATGTACGCACTGTACGCACCATTACCACTCTGGCGCGGCAGAGAGTCCACTGGGATCGGCGTTCAATGCAGACTTCCAGATCATCTTCCATGCAACGATTGGGATGGAAAGGTTAAAAAAGAAATAAAAATAAAAATAAAAAGAGAGCGATAGGGGATCCTCCGCTTCCAACGCATTCCAAATAGACTAACTAGACTTAGAGACCGTTGCGGAGCATCTACCGTTTCTTCATGATGAACATCTCCAGTTACCAAGATCCAGACACTGCTGAGCCCCTTGCGATAACGCATTAATGGACTGTTTTGCTATTTATTACTATCATTGTTTTCCTTTTTACTACGCAAAAACTACACTGCATGGTGCGCTGTCAGCCACCCGATTAATTTTACAACACAAGCAAAAGGGTGTTGGCAATTACCAAATCACGAAGCTGAGCTAAGATGAGTATCATCATCTTTCAAACGGACCCCGCATGAACACATCACACATCCTTTCTTCTGTACAACCATGTACATACTGTACACTTTACAGGCATAGAAGATTTTGCACGATTGTTTCAGATACCTGACCAATCTCACATGATGCAACAAGAAGGGCTAGGGCTTACCGAAATGCAGTGTGATTTCATCTGATATAATGTAAAACAAAACAAATACCTATGTAGGAATGTCTCCTACAGTCGGATATTACTTGTGTTCTCGAGGATGCCCAGCCGCATAAAAGTGCCTGGGATTTCGGATAGTTCCTGCAGGGTAAATAACATAAGTACATACAAAGAACGATCGCAGTGCCTTGCAGAACAAAAATGTCCATATTATGCGACTCACTTATGCCCTTGCTGGAACTAGGAGTACCTTCAGATCCTGCAACTCAGACACTACATACTTCTCACTAGGATCATGTAATTAGTTATAATTATTATCTATATCTGACTAAATGCTGCATGGCACAAGGATTTACATAGCCATGTCCATCCATGAGTGATATTCGTGATCAGCTGCTAAGCAGCGAACTACTTGCCATCGACCTATATATGTCGGAGCATACCTGCAGATCCCACCCTTAAACCATGTGGCCCGGAGTTTGTACTGCGTAGCATTCTTATATCATTCTTTGCAGCGCCACGGCATCGATATCCTGATTGATTGCAGTAGTCAACAGGACAGCTTAAATTCTTCATGACGTGATTTCTAGCTGTCACCCAACAGCCACACAGCCACGATTTTCTCTCAGGTATAGGAAGCCGCATCCTTAGCCTTTGTAATGGGACTACATACATCCATTCGAGATAAAGACCATGCAACGAACCCATGGGCAAATTCGATAGTTAATTTCGCGGGTCTACCGAGGCTATCGTCAATTCATCCTATAATGGCTTGATCGTATGATAGAGAAAATCGCGTTCGCCGTACGGAGGTATTGCATGCCTTTGCTAAAAACGTCGGTGTAGTGCCAAGTATGTGCTAAGACCTGGCCGTGGAGACGAAGATCAATAGACTCGCCGAATAAATGCCTCTCCTTCACTCTAGACCAGTTGTGTGTCCACTCGACAGTTACACATCGTACATACACGGCAGGGTGCGCACAGTGAGCCGAAGATCCTGTTGAAAACCCCCAATGCAAGCCGCTTGGCCCTTGATAAAGTGAGATACAAGCGTTGTTTAATCTTCTTTGCTCAAAACCGCTTTTCTCCGAGGAATCGTCCTTTTCCCTACGGAGCAAACTTAGGCGTGCACGTATCCATCGTCGCAACAATTTTACTTTGCTAGTCTCGCTAGTCAATTTGGCAAAATATGGAACAATAAAAATTGGTTTAAGGAGAATTTTCCTTCTCATCCCCAGCATGGTTATCGCGATGGCCATGTGCCGACACTCTCCTATTAAATTTTAGAGCGTACGCATGCGTCATGTTCAATGTTACTAACGACGACATCCTGGTTCCCACCGGTTCGAACTCTGGAGTGATCCTATAGTATGTAGTCCATGCGAAGAGTTTGCGAATGGCATCACACTTGCGTGGCTTTATCTTCCGTTGTTACGTACTCCATCTCGTCCCGTGGGGCACCAGGGAAGCTATCAGTCGTCAGGGGTATTTACCGGCTAGACTTCGTATAATGTGCAACACTCTGCATCTGATAATTGATTGTTTTTCCTAGTGCCCTGGACTCCATACACTCTGCTCGGTCGAACCATGGATATTGGGTGGCCTGTAGTGGGGATTTGGCGCACTACACCTTTACGGAGTACACTACACTAAAAACGGTATACTGTTATCTTCCCGTTGGTTTCAACGTATTTTACTAGGGCCTTTTTTTTTTCTCTCTCTCTCGTTGTTACAGTTTCTATCTGCTCTCAAGTATGTATCATGGCAGTCTCCGAAAGCGTCAGCCCATTAAGCGAAAAAATCAATTGTCAAACACATCAGCTTGACGTGCCACCCCCACATAAGGGGCCGTATCATGCCTAGAAGCTCGGCATTGATATCCAACCATGACGCATGATTGTGTATAACTGAATGGAGATATATAATTTCGGCTACACGGACTGTTCTGCCCTATAAAATCAGTTGCCCATGAAATGCGGAGTATTCAGAGGATGGGGTTTAATATCTTCCCCTTCATGGAGTCAACAGGCCGAGCTTCCGGGCTCCACGTACACCTTGGACGACAATACTAGGCAACAGCGACTCTATTCCAATGCATGGTTGAGAGCTGTGTCCGAGACATTCCCTTTCTTTCCCTCTCTCAATCTTTTTACTCCTGACGCCTGATTTACTTGTACTACAAGCTTAGCAGACCAGCTGCCTAGTTAATTAATTTCTTTTTCGTCTCACTGTCAACACGGGGACTCCGATCAATCCCAACTCAAATTGTAATCAAGGGCACAGAATATACATTGGCTTATGTCTGTCATATAGAATGACACATTCCAACGAACGGTTCAATCTAGAGCGACGATCATGAAGAGTAGACCTGGTGGCTGACTGCTGCCGCATTGAGAGCATGAATGACTAATCATCGATTTAGGTCGATGCCAAGACCGGACAAATTTTGCCCACCGCCTTCCCGTGAATTTTTTTGATTCTCCATTATCGCAGAATTCGAGACGAGTCGAAATCTGCAGCAATCGACACAAATTAGCAAAAATGGTGTCCTCAACAGCGGTCACTACTAAGGTGGCCTCCGGGTCCCCCTACCAACTCGAGAAGAGCCAGGTATATAGCCAATATTGCCCCGCGTGACCAATGTCAAATATGATCTCAGTAGCTCACGATACGGCTGCAGGTTTCCAAAGCTTCTTCTGCGCTTTTGCGACACATCAAATCGAAACAGGTTGAAAAGGAGAAGTCGGCGACCAAGAAGACTCTTATTGGAGACAACGACGAGTCCGACGATGAAACCCCACTCAACAACGAGGCTGTCTGGCTCGTGGTCACCACCAAGAAGCACGTTGTCGACAAGAACCGTCTGAAGCCCGGCAAGATTACCGTCCCACACTCCTTGAATGACTCTTCGAACCTTAGCGTCTGCCTCATCACCGCCGACCCTCAGCGCTCGGTCAAGAACATTGTTACCGATCCTTCTTTCCCCGAACACCTTACTTCCCGAATTGACCGGGTTATCGGCTACTCCAAGTTGAAGGCCAGATATCAAAGCTTTGAGAGTCGGCGACAACTCCTGTCCGAGCACGATGTCTTTCTGGCGGATGACCGGATCATTTTGCGCTTGGTCAATACCCTTGGAAAAATCTTCTACAAGTCTAGCAAGCGGCCTATTCCTATTTCTATCGCCAAGGTTGAGAAAAAAGATGGCAAGAGGGTGAAGAAGGATCCAAAGCAGAAGTCGAAGGAAGAAGATAGTGCTTTCGCTTCCCCCGCCGTTGTCGCTAAGGAGATCGAGAAGGCACTCCACTCCGCGCCTGTCCAGCTTGCTCCCGCCACTACCGCCTCCATTCGCATTGGTTCATCCAAGTTTACCCCAGAGCAGCTGTCTGAGAACGTCGATGCTGTTGTTCAGGGTTTAACTGATAAGTTCATTACGAAGGGCTGGAGGAACATCAAGGCCCTTCACATCAAGGGCGCCACTACTATGGCCATGCCGATCTGGCTAGCCAATGAATTGTGGGTTGAGGAGGGTGATGTGGCTGAAGACGTCGCGGATGCTGATGCGAAGGCACTCGAAGGCGCCAAGAATAAGAAGCGCAAGCAGAATGCAGAGGATGAGAAGCTGCTGGAGGGCAATAAGAAGTCCAAGAAACCCAAGGCTGCCGATGAGGACGAGGACGCTGCTGCCAGGAAAGAGAAGCTTCAGAAGCAGAAGGCCAAGGCCCTGGAGGATGGCAACGTTGCCAAGACGACAGAATCCGCTACGAAAGGTGGAAAGAAGAAGAGAAAGTCGACCTCATAATATACTACTTCTATGGTGTTATATGGATTATATTTGTCAATTGCAACTATAGGTTCTCCGGCGGCGTACCGATATCACGTGTGTCGATTTTATGATTTAGACAATAGGGCGTGTTTGCAATACCCTTTGAAGAAAAAAAGTTTATTGTTGCTACTGTGCTTTGATTTTCGCTCTGTAATTAGAAATTTTCCAGCAATGCAATGGTATAAGGTATCCTTATCAATGGTCAACATGGATCCTCCGTAGCTAGCCTTGCAGAGGCACATGTTATGCACTTTTGCAGAGGACACCGCCCTCAGTTAACCGAGCTCTCCGAGGATCGGCGGGTGCTTGGCGGACCGACGATAACCACCCGCCCGCCAAAAGCGTCGGCAGAACTTCAACTATTATGCAGTTGCACCTACTAGTACTTGTTGGCAGCCCGACAAGAGCTCAGAGCAGGTTCTCATAACTCACTCCAATATATACCATCATGATCCCGATCGCAAGACATTCGGCCCTTCGCGCCGCCCGCTCGCAACTCGCTCCGCGGGCCTTTAACCAGTCTGCACTCGCCCGCCTTCTCTCCACCTTGGCCGTCCTTGAACAGCGTGATGGCAAGCTCCAGACCTCATCTCTCTCCGCGATTGCAGCTGCGCAGAAGCTAGGAGGGTCCGTCACTGCCTTCGTGGCTGGAAACGGCGTCAAGGGAACCTCGGCTGCGGAGGCAGCTAAAATTAAGGGTCTGGATAAGGTAGTGGCCGTGGACAGCGAGGCTTATGAGAAGGTACGAGGTCGCTACAAATGGTTTTAAGAGCCATGAAATTACGGTATCGGCAGGATCTAACGGGAATGGAAAACTAGGGCCTGGCCGAGAACTACGCTCCTCTTCTCGTTGAGAACATCAAGAAAGGCGAATACACCCACATCATTGGCGGCCACTCCGCTTTCGGAAAGAGTCTTCTGCCTCGTGTGGCAGCTTTGCTGGATGTTCAGCAGGTATCCGATATCACCGGAATTGAGAGCGAGGACAGTACGTATAAGGAAGGCTGAAGAAGCCGACATTGTCGATGAGTCATATGTGCTGATGATTGACGCAGCTTTCGTCCGCCCTATCTACGCTGGAAACGCCATCCTCACTGTTCAGTCGAGCGACCCCATCAAGGTCCTCACCGTCAGAGGCACTGCTTTCCAGGGTGTTGAGACCGAGGGTGGCTCCGCGGAGGTCGTTGAGGGAGTTGACCCCAAGGCACCCGCCCAGACCGAGTGGGTTTCTGAGGAACTTGCCAAGTCTGAGCGCCCCGACCTGGGTACCGCATCCCGTGTTGTGTCCGGTGGCCGTGGCTTGAAGTCGAAGGAGGAATTCGACCGGGTGATGGTGCCTTTGGCCGATACGCTCGGAGCTGCCATTGGCGCTTCCCGTGCCGCTGTTGACAGTGGCTTCGCTGATAACAGTCTACAGGTTGGTCAGACGGGCAAGAATGTTGCGCCTCAGCTGTATCTCTGCGCTGGTATCTCCGGTGCTATCCAGCATCTTGCTGGTATGAAGGACAGCAAGGTTATTGCTGCTATCAACAAGGACCCCGATGCTCCCATCTTCCAGGTTGCAGATGTCGGCCTTGTCGGCGATCTTTTCGAGAAAGTACCTGAGTTGACCGAAAAGTTGAAGAGCCAGGCTTAGTTTGGCTTATCGCTTTTGTTCTTGTATCATGATTTCTTTTTGTCTCATGCGAGCTTCTAGGGCGGAGTCAATTATAAAGTATACCATCCATTGTTAGCACTAGGAAATTGCAATTAGACTCCTAGTTACAAGACGCTATACCTGTATCGATCTTCGTGAGTAAACTATTGTGTTCAACGCATAGGTGACGTGCTCCAGGGCTGGGGCTCTACACTGTTAACCATACGGGCAATGATGTGGAAGTTTCATGGAAAGCTGTGGCCATAGGCCCATCCCTTTAGTTTTCTATAGCAAGAACTCAACTGCTACGATTGGTATATCTATACAATATCATTGTAGCGAGGTAATCCCTCATTATAACACCTCTCGGTGGGAGACCTTTATGCTATGACCAGGGAGCAGGCTCAACGCATTTTTCAGTATATTATGAACAGCCATTAACAAGAAACCGTGTTAAGTCCATTCTATCGTACATACACTTGTAGACGAACATGCGTCACTCAGACCTGGCCCGAGGTCATACACTTGACTTCCATTTAGAGTTAGCGCGCACCCGGCGGCGCGTTCACGCGCGTCGCATCGCCCACTCCATCTAATCGGTCCACAGATACAGAGGAAAGATCGAGGGTATCACCAAACTGGTCAATTAGGTATTACAGCACTATCGAAATATGAAATGACCTCTTGAACGCTTTAATGACATCGCCACCGTCGTCATTCCCACCCTCGTTTGATCCCGCCATACACCTCCACTCCCAGGGACCGAACGATATAGATATACTCCCGCTATCTGAATCTTTCTCCGACGATTTCGAGGCGATACATCTGCAGCGACAAGAAAATATCCGCAATAAGGTTGTGATTCTAGACCGGGCTTGGAATCTCTCGGATGTGTTCCGGAGTGACGAGGATATAGGACCAGGTACGATGTCGCATGGGAGGATAATGGTGATGCGAAGCATTCTGACGGTGATCTAGAAACTCCGACAAAACCTTGCAGAAAGTCCCAACTGGGGACCGTCAACTCACCAGTTCGTCCACTGGTATTTCTACCGTCTTCGCCTCCCGTCGTCAAGATGCCGTTTATATCGTCGCCTGTCGTCTTTCCATCGAGTGCTCCATCGCCGACGGATCCGCAGAAAAGGAAGAATGGAGAAGAGTCTCAGTCGGGGGAGCCTAAGCGGCAAAAGATTATGGGAGGATTCCTGGATGACGATGACGATGAGGATGAGATGGACGCATTTGGAGATGCCCATCTACGGAGCCAATTTGAAATTGAAGATCAGATTATCGAGCAACCGCCTGTTGCGCCGACGGAGCCAGTGGATCTCTCACAGCTTGCTCAGACTTCTACATCTACACTTGATTCATTACAGCCTCCGACTACCGCACCAATCGCTTCAGTGCCTATAACATTCAGCTTACCACGAAGAGAGCCTCTATCGATCCAAATAAAAACTTGCTCGGGCAAGACGCACAATGTTGCGCTAAGGAAGACTGCAGCCCCTGTTTCTTATGAAAGACTTGTTGCCGGCCGCTCGACCACGGCTCCCGGGAGAGCTCAAAAGAGTTACTATGGTATTGATATACATAGACTTATGGACGAAGCTGCACAGGAGGCCGAACAGTCAAAAACGTCTCGACCTCCACCTGTCCCCGCAGTGCGGCAATCGATTGAGGCTGTAGAGGGAAACCAGAAAGATAGGAAAGCAGCAACTATAATGTGGACCGAGAAGTATCGTGCTCGTAAATTTACCGAGCTCATAGGAGACGAACGAACGCACCGATCTGTCATGCGCTGGCTGAAGGGATGGGAATCTATTGTTTATCCGAACCTGGCTAGGTCAAAACCAAAAAATTCCAGCAATGAAGAGGAACGACCGCACCGAAAGGTAATGTTGCTATGCGGTCCTCCTGGTCTTGGAAAGACAACACTAGCCCACGTTTGTGCCAAACAAGCAGGCTATGAGGTGCTGGAGATCAATGCTAGTGATGACCGGAGCAAGGACGTGGTGAAAGGGAGGATTCGAGATGCGCTTGGTACGGAAAATGTAAAGGGAATGAACGTGGAGGTCGGCGAGAAAAAGGTTCGAAAAGCAGCGCGGCCAGTCTGTGTTGTCGTCGACGAGGTAGATGGTGTTGTTGGCGGATCTGGTAGTGGCGGCGAGGGAGGTTTCATGAAAGCATTGATTGATCTAGTTCTTCTTGATCAGAAAAATGCGTCACGCTCATCGGAACAAAATACGGCGGGCAGAAGAAGGAAAGGAGACAACTTCCGCTTCCTGCGGCCGCTTATTCTGGTCTGTAACGATGTATACCACCCCAGCCTTCGGCCACTGAGAGCGTCTTCTGTTGCTGAAATGATCCATGTGCGCCAAGCACCCTTGGAGAACGTGGTTTCGCGCATGAGGGGCATCTTCAACTTGGAAGGCATCCCCGCCGATAACGACGGAGTGAGAAGGCTATGTGAAGCGTCATGGGGCGTTGCCCGAAGGAAGCAATCCAACTCCAAAAACAGCGGAACAGCCGAAGGTGATATTCGAAGTGTCCTTGTCGCTGCAGAATGGGTGGCCCATAAGCTGAAATACGAGAGCGTAGAGTCTATGCGATTGACGAGAAGATGGCTTGAGCAGAATGTCCTGAGTGAGGCTGCAGGTGGTAATTCATTCTTCAAAGGCCTAAACCGTGGAGGCGTGCGCGACATTGTCGATCGTGTATTCACGCAAGGAGCAGGTTTTGCAGACGTTCCTATCAACGCCGAATCTTTCCGTGACCCTTTCGATGACAACGCAAAAACCCCTGTGGGTGTGGCCGACCTCAAAAAGCGCCATGCTATTAACAGACTACGAGAGATGGTCGATGCTAGTGGCGACTACGACCGCTGCGTCACGGAGTGCTTCACTTCATATCCCCTGCAGACATATCAGGACGACACATTCCTCTCTAAGCCCAACAACGCTTATGACTGGCTGCATTTCCATGATACTATCTCATCTAAAGTTTTCTCTAATCAAGACTGGGAACTCACTCCGTACCTCAGCCAGTCGGTGGTGGCATTCCACCATTTGTTTGCTTCCGCCTATGGCAAGCGCACTCGTAATGAGCTTGACGAAGAGGAAGAGGAGGAACATCCTTTCTCTGGACCCAGGGCAGAGTTTGCAGCTCATGAGGCTCTGAAGCAGAACCGTGCGATTGTCAATGGGTTTCAGTCTTCGTTAGCTGCTCCGATGCTACGACTTTTCCGAGCTACCGATTGTCTGGTCACCGACCTCGTCCCGAACCTCATGCGGATGTTGTCGCCTGATGTAAAACCGGTTGTTGTACGGGGAAGCGGGGAACAGAAGAGCATGGCCAGTGTGCGTAAAGAAAGCGAGCGGGCTCTTGTGCAGGCAGCCGTCCGTGTTATGACGGGACTAGGTGTGACATTCGAAAAGGTGCGAGTAGAGGGCGAGGGCGGGGCGCACGGGGGGTGGGCATATCGCATGGAGCCGTATGTTACACCACTGCATCTAGACCTCATGTTGAGATTTCCAGGCTAACTTTTCAACAGCCCATTAGATTCACTTGTAACATTTTCGAAAACCAAAGGACATTCATCATCAGGGACAACTAGCGCAGCACCAGTTCGCTACGCTGTTCGCCAAGTCCTTGACCAGGAGTACCGCAAGGAGACGGTACGAAAACAGACCGAAGCATTGAGTTCGACTACTGGCCCCACAAAATCCTTCCACAAGTCTGCAGACGGCCAGGCACAGGACGGTGGGCAGGGGGTAAAAAGATCAGGCCGGGAACCTGGTGTCAAACGTGACTTTTTTGGACGGATAATCCGCGAGCCCTCGCCACAACCTGGGAGCTCACACGATAATCCAGTGCAGAATGAGGCTTCAAAGGCAGGCAGGAAGGTTTGGGTGACGTATCACGACGGATTCTCGAATGCTGTACGAAAGCCCATCTCGATGGGTGAGTTGCTAGCGGGACTATAGGACACAGACGCCTAGGGATTTACTACATAGCCTTAATACGAAACAGCCATGACGAGATGATAGCTCTAAATTCTGATTTTATAGAAACCTTACTAGTAATGTCTTGAAGCCGAGGTACTGCATGGCTGCCAAGGTATGCTCGTCTTCCATTTAGATGCATAGAATGATTTAGTTCCCCAATCATTAAATAACAAGTAAAACCCATTAAGCACTCGGCCCTCTGCAGAGAGACCGACCACCACATCCCAATACATAATATTAACCAAACATCAGGAACAAAAAACTTGATCTCAAACAAAGCGCTCAGAATCGTAGGCGCAGCGCATCATGCAATCTAATATTCCATCCCAAACGCCAATTTTCCCAACAAAAGAACAAAACGAAGCAAAAGCCCCAAGATGCACCAGGCAGATTGGGTGTGGTACGTCATCAATTGAGTTGTCATGTATCCCCAGCATTAGATCCCTTCGATAGTCCACTTGATCCGACGCAGATGATATATCACCTTGCAGCTTCACCGATACGCAAGGTAAGTAGCCATGGCCTCATAGTGTAGCGTTTTCTTGGACCTTTCAGTGTGCTTCGGCCTGGAGGTATCCATCTTCTCTGTCTTCTTCAGGGAGAGCCATTTCTTCTTGGTGGGTTCGGCGTCGGTGCCCTTTAGGGTTGATGTTGTGGAAAGGTAGGAGCGGGTTGATGCCGCGTCGTCCGAGACGGTGGTGGTTGACTTGGCGGATTTGAAGGCCATTGTTTCTTTTGGGCAGGAGACTTTGGGGAGGATTGGTTTATGTAGAGGAATGGTGGTGGTTGTTCTTTGGTTTCGGCTTGGTTTGTATAGTTCGGAAGGAGACTCGGTGGAGTAGATATAGCAGGAATTCCAATACACAATGACTTGATATTGTTTGTTCAAGTGAAAGTAACCAGTGACTGATGATCGAATGAATAAAATGCAAGAAAAGATCCTGCCCGGTCTATATATACCCTCCAAATTGTGACAATTCCCTCTATACCTTATATTCCATTCCGTGCCGTACTACGCATTTTTACTCCGACGCCTCACGGAGTACAAACACTAAGCCCCAACCAAAGAAAAAAAAAAAGGGCCCCAAAGCAAGTCCATGACCCACCACAGCGATTAGCTGTAAGGCTTAGCAATCTAATGCAACCAAGCACGCTCTAACTTCGCTCCCAGAAAGGGATCCACAGACGACTTGAGTGCCTGATGATATGCCAAAAATGCGTCATGGCCGCTCGTGTCAACCCCACAAGACCAGACTGTTCTGGTATACCAAGAAGCGAAGGGCGTGAACAACACGAAGTCGGTGAAGTTACTCGGGGAGGATCCGAATTATTCAGATATGTAGTCTAGAATCTCGCTTAGAGTTGAGTGAGGTGGTGGTCGTTTCGTATTTTGTTATCTTTGTTTGGATGTCGGGGTGGGAGCCTGGGAGGTAGGGCTCCCGTTTTGGTTAAGTGAGTAGTATGTTATGCGATGGAGCCATCGTCTGTCTTTTTCTTCTTTACTAAGTAATTGGAGCAAGGAGCTGTAATGACATACTCTGTATCCTCGCTTGGCCAAAACGGGTGCCCTACCTTGAATTCCTTTATGACAGTCGGGCCTCGACTCCACTTTGCCGAGAAATTTGGATCTGGAGTCGATTCATTGAGAGTTTTGTTTGTCCGTCATTGGTGGATTCGACGTGACTCAGGATGCGCCTTAGGTTTTCCATGACTGCGTACGTCAGGATCTAGAATTCCGCCATATGGCTTCCATCATCGCGGTTACTGGATATGTTTAGAGTTCTGTAGGCAAGTCTACTCCGTTCTACGTATAGAGAATAGACTACTATGGCTGTGTGGCCAGAATGATCCTGGTCTTGGCGTATTCCGATATATGTCGCTATTCCGAACTCCGACGTCGAACTTTTCATTCCGATCGCCATCAAAGAAAGACACGGAGTTGGTGTGAAAAAAATGAGCGCCTTTCGGAATAAGAGTTGACGATACAGCTGAGTTGATTAATTAAGACTATGGGATAATTTTAGAATGAACATGCAGGTGGCAAACAGGGGGAAGAAAAAAATAGGTCAGGAGTTGGAGTTGAAAGTGTATAGCTTACTCGATGCTGCTGGCTTCGTCCTAAGCGGGTTTCATGCATGCATGACATTATGCTACATACATGCCAGGAGCTTGTGTTGAACTGGCCACTTCGTCATAATTCGTACTAGTAGTACTAGTAGCTGTATGTCTTTGTGTCGGTGCTATCGTGTATACTGGGGTTGTGATTGGTTGATGTTTCATGGTAGTTCAGATTTATTATATATAACTCTAACCCCGCCAAACAACCACATCACATCTTCGGTTTTATCTCACGAGAAGACGCAATTTCTTTTTCTTGAACAGAAGAAGATGAAGAAGAAGAAGAAGAAGAAGAAGAAGAAGATATACCTACATGACTAGCCTCCTTTCTGAATGCTACTTCTCTAATAATACCTCTTGTCAAGGATCGCTTTCAAGTTTCGAGACGTGCCTAGAGAAAAGGGTTGGTGGTAAGGTAACTGTTATCCAAAGCCCACTTTCAAATCAACACCAACACCTGAAAAAGCGCAAAGATGTTAGGAATGGGCCTGATACTACTCCGGAGTAGGTTTTATCAAATAACTTTCATTTTGAATTGTTTGTCAGGACCTCAGACTAATACCATACAGATCCATGATCTCATATTTGATTACAAAGCAGCTGGGAAACAATTGGACTCAACCAATATCGATGACAGATTCGCCTTCATTCGATAACATTCGGTGTAAGAAGCCAATGGGTACTCTCCGCCAATAATCGGTCAATGTAGATAGATGATTGATAATGCCGACGAAAAGGTTAACTCTATGTCTTCCCTAAGGTGCATTTGTCAGCGCATGGCACCGAAGCGCCGACTCCGTGATATTCATACAGATCCGAGTGGATGCGGGATGTGCATTGCCGAGTAACCGCAATCTATCCGGAAATCGCGCGATCCTATTTTAAAGAGGCGTATACCTCACGCCTCCCTGGCAACATCTACCGCCGTGCAACATTGCTACAAACCACTACGCTCATTTCCTTCAATACACAGCAAAAATTGTCTCTATTTCCCCATCAGAGTATCTAGTCAAGATGTCTCTTAAGCCTCTTATCCTCCACGGCCATTCTGCCGGCCCCAACCCCTGGAAGGTGGCCATGCTCCTCAACGAACTCAATGTTCCCTACGAATACAAGTATCTTCAATTCGCAGAAATCAAGGGTGAGGCCTTCTTCAAGCTCAACCCTAACGGCCGTGTTCCCGCCATCGAGGACCCCAACACAGGAATCACCCTGTGGGAGTCGGGTGCTATCCTCGAATATCTGGTTGAAACCTACGACAAAGAGAAAAAGTTCAGTTTCGAAGCCGGCACACCGGAGTACTTCCACGCCAAGCAATGGCTCCACTTCCAGATGTCGGGCCAGGGCCCCTACTTCGGCCAGGCAGTGTGGTTCACTAAATACCACCCCGAGAAGGTTGAAAGCGCCCGGCTGCGCTACGTCAACGAAATCCGTCGTGTGTCGGAAACGATGAACAATGTTCTTGCGGACCGTGAGTATTTGGTTGGCGACAAGTACAGTTATGCCGACCTCTCCTTCGTTCCCTGGTTCGGCATCATTCCCTGGATCACCGGAGATGCATTTGACCTGGAGAAGGACTTCCCTCATCTGAATGCATGGCTGGAGAGAATCCAGGCTAGGCCTGCCATTGCCAAAGCGTTGGCAGAGAGGGCTGAGGCAACCTCGAAAATGACGCACCCTTGAAGGGAGGGAGGTGATCAGAGGAGCTAGCCGGATCTGGCTCACAAGAAGGAATGTGAAATCTGTATTCAGAATTGCATTGTATATTTAATAATTTGATAGTATCCATGATGTTATGGTTCGTGATCGAGACTTTCTGGGTAACATAGTATGTAAGTCCGGCGGACCATTTCTGCCGAAGAAGAAGTACCTCAAGACCGTACAGATGTAACACGACAACTTCTTTATTTCAGTAATTACCCGAGAGAAGGCAATCGGTCAAAGTGACTGCAGAACCCTAGGTAGATCCTACTTGGAGTAGATGGTAGGAAGCAGGAAGCAGAGTAAAAGAGGGAAAGAACGCCTATTCCCAAAGTGGTTAGCGCCCCTGAGGCTCTTGGCGCGAACTTTTGGAGCGACGGCCGTGTCGCGACAGTTGCACCGCTACTAAGCCATCCTCCTCATCGTCACCTCATTGCTTCTCCGCTTGGTGTCACTTCCGTTATTTATCCCGGAGGCTCAGCTTGCCACACTTATTGATAAACCAGTTGATTAAGGGTTGCATCCGCACCCTGTCACTCGCCTCCATTGGCCTTCTAAGCAGAGACCCTTGCTCCGCTGCCTGCGACCTCTGTATCCTTCTTTGACCACCATTCTATCAACATGGAAGAGAGTAACGTCGTTTCCAGCGGCGCAGTCGATGACATTCACTCCGCGACTGCGACCCAAGATGCTCCAGGTGAAGTGATAAACCCTTCCGGTGGGTTTGACCTCCTCCCCTAACAGAATGCGGAGATTGTCAACGTCCGCAATCTTATGCTCCAAATCGCAATCGCGTCAAGAGTCTTAAGAAGATGAGACACTGAATGTTCCAGGGACTGATAATCCTTTAGACGCCCCGGCCTCACCCAAAGCCCAGAACACCGAAGGCGAACCGGAGGATGAGGAGATGGGCGGCACAGAGACTGAACCAAAGAAAGAAAGCGAGGGCGCCGAAGAAAATGCTGACGGCGTTGCGCAGCCAGGTGCCGAAGGTGCTACAGAGGATCAGTCTGGACAAGGCAAGTCGTCGATCGAATCTTCGGCGCGCTCACAACTTGTTTCGCAAACACACGCCATTATCCTTCCCAGTTACTCCACGTGGTTCGACATGCACACCGTTCATCCCATCGAGAAAAAGGCCCTCGCGGAGTTTTTCAATGGCAGGAACCGAAGCAAGACGCCCGCAGTCTATAAAGATTATCGCGATTTCATGATCAACACCTACAGACTGAACCCTATCGAGTATCTCACAGTCACCGCATGCCGTCGTAATCTTGCTGGAGATGTGTGCGCGATCATGCGTGTTCACTCATTTTTAGAACAGTGGGGCTTGATCAACTACCAAGTGAGTAACAATAGATCTTGATTAATACCCAGTTGCTAACGCTTTTAAGGTTGATCCCCAAACCCGTCCGTCAAATATTGGTCCTCCTTTCACAGGCCATTTCCGAGTCATTGCTGATACCCCCCGCGGCCTTCAACCCTTCCAACCCGGGCCAAACCATTTTGTCAAGCCTGGAAAGCCTCTACCGGCCACTGAACGTGCAGCTTCAGCTGCCCCAGCGTCAAAGGCTGACCTTAACCTCGAAATCCGTCGCAACGTCTATGACGATAAGGGCAAGGAGATCACCCCTGCTACTGAGGACAAGGAGAAGCAGACAAATGGCGACGGCTCCACTAATGGTGCGACGGGCGACGCGGTGAAAGCGATGGAAACCGCTTCTAAAGAACCCAGAAAGAAGTTCCACTGCTTCTCATGCGGTATCGATTGTACCCGACTCAGATTCCATTATGCGAAGTCGACTCCAGCCACTGCTAACGCATCTGCTCCGGATTCGAAGTACGACCTTTGCCCTAACTGCTTCTTACAAGGCCGCATGCCTTCCAGCCATAGTGCCTCCGATTTCGTCAAGCTCGAAGATAACGCGTATTCAGTGATTCCGGACAAGGACGCTCCTTGGTCCGACTCTGAACTTGTACTGCTCCTCGAAGGACTGGAGAATTTCGATGAGAACTGGGAGCAGATCGCCAACCATGTCGGCACTAGAACGAAGGAAGAATGTGTTATGAAGTTCCTGCAATTGGAGATTGAGGACAAATATGTCGAGGATTTGCCCGATATGCGGACCGCCGGTGGGCGAGAGCCCATCAGCCAGGCTGAGAACCCTGTTCTGTCGGTAGTCGCCTTTTTGGCACAGATGGCAGAGCCTGCCGTGGCCGCTGCCGCGGCGGGTCGCTCTGTGGATGAGATCCGTAAGGAGCTTCGGAAGCAGCTCGAGAAGGGCTCTGACAAGAGTCAAGAGAAGGGCAAGGAAAAAGAGGGCTCTGGGGTGAAGACAGAGGATTCCATGGATGTGGATGCCTCCACCACCGAGGTTGTAGAAACTTCCAGCTCTGATAAACAGTCCAAGGCTTCTCTACCCACAGTTGCCCTCGCCACCTCAGCAGCTCGTGCCGGTGCTCTTGCCTCTCACGAGGAACGGGAGATGACTCGCCTAGTCTCCGCTGCCGTCAATGTCACTCTGCAGAAGTTCGAGATTAAGCTGCAGCAGTTCAACGAGATGGAGGAGATCATTGAGGCCGAACGCCGGGAACTCGAACTGGCTCGTCAGCAGCTTTTCCTGGACCGGATGGCCTTCAAGAAGCGCGTAAAGGAGGTCCAGGATACCCTGCAAGCAGTTAGCCTGAAGGGACCTGGCGAGGACGCAAACAACATACTTGGTGAGGCTGCGACGGCAGGGATCGGAAACCGCTTCAACTTCCAGCCTGCAGGCAGTGATGCACGGGCTGGTGTGCAGCCTTTGAGCGCGGAGGCAGGTGCTGACTACAAGACCCTGGACCTGTAAAGGGTGGAAGCTTCGTTCAATGGCATGCGTAAATGAAAAACCTCTTGAAAAAAAAATGAAATACATATCTTACGATGCACCAGGGACGTTCGCAGGTTAACATTTATAATATCCATGTATTGTACCATAAATATTCTAGGGCCGAAGGACCAGATACCAGGATAAAAGATTGGAGGGGCACCTCGCAGAGACTGTTTGGGTGATTGACTGATGGATGAATGATTGGGGTTTGGGTTTACTATTGACTTGCTGCTCAGCTATGAAAAGGCGCAACTGTTCTGGAGTTAGAGTATTTGCCACGTTTGTCTACTTCAACCTTCTTATTTAGTTCAAGGTGGAATGAAATCGTTAAATTGTTATTTCCTGTGCCAAATGTCTAGTGACCAACATGTTTATGTGGTATCACAAAAAATATCATACAAAGTCTGAGATCGAAAAAATGGGCCACTTGTGTAGCAAATATAGATGGATAGATGTCCAATCAATCGCTAGGCTAGTCAGCTGGACTCATCGGCTGTGAATATAACGGCATGCCGTCCCTGTCGTCCTGTACTGAGGACGAATATTCCCTGGGTGCAGGAAGGTCGTCATCGGAGCCAGAAGAGGAGCTTGCTTCGTCCTGTTTGAGCTCGGCTTGTATGCGCCTCCGACGGGTTAGTATAGGTGATCGGTGCCCGGGGGTTGTGTTGGCGGGTACGGGCGAGTCTAATTCATTTGCTTGTTTCTGGTTTGTACTGGGGCTGAGGGTTGTTTGTTTGCGTTGGGTATTGTTAATTTCAGGACCTGAATCGCGCTCCTCTGTAGGATCTTCTTCATCTTGGGCGGTAGTGGCATTTTGGCCTGGGGCTGTTGATTCGCCCATTTCTATGTCTTCGTCTTCACTCGGGCTATCGTATTCACCAACTGTTGGTTTAATTCTGAGTCCATCTGTTTGGTTGTTTTCACCATTGACCCAGACAGGTGAAGAATCCCGGGAATCGTCAAGGCGCCTTCGTTTTCGTCGCTTTTCCGATATCTCTTCATAGATATCATAAACTTCGTGACCATACTCCTCCCAATCACTTCGATACAGTGTCCTTTCACGCCAATTTCTAAGCTCTTGTTGTGTTTTGCGCTCTCCTGTCGGTTTGCGTATTTTATTATCCTGATCTTCCTTGATGGGAATGAGAAAAGCCGGCGCTGGCCGGTCCAAAGCTTTCCAAAGTTCTAACTCTCCAAGGTAACTGGCTCTTTGGTCTTCTTGCTCTGCGTGTTGATTTTCGGAGTCTGATGGGAGTTCATCTTCATCGCTGGAGACTTCTGCTGATAAAGGTGCGGATGGGACTGGAGAGCGTTCGGGCTTGAACTCGCTCTCACTGTCACTTGCATTGTCCTCATCGCTGCCTGTGTGTTCACCGTCTGTGTTCCCTTGCATCCTGCTTTCTGACCTTTGCCTGGACGTGCTCCGATTCGATTCTGCATCGATGGGTATCCTATTGGACAACATATCTTCTACATCGTCATGGCTCAGGCGAACGGATTTCCATCCTTTTCGATGTCGAGAATCAGAAACATCCAAACAGCACCGCCGTGCTACGCCAGTCCAGTAGTCAAATCCGTCTCGTTTCATTTGCATCACGTCCAGCGCGGTCCTAACATCTCGCGGTTTGACTACCTTGGCCTTGCTATTACCCGTCTCTCTCATGTTGCGCAGCCTTGACATGGCAAAAAAGAGGGTTGACTGAATCAAACGGCGCGTCACGCTTACGGTGAGAGTGTAGAAATCAGCTAACGCGTCAGCAGTTATCGCTGGTGATTCGCCCGCGTAAGCTATGTTCACCCAGTTATCTTCTAGCCTTGCGCCCCCAAAATTCATGAACAAGCGCTCGGAGAGCCGGATCCACCTCGGGATGTTGAGTAGACTGGTCGTGTGGTAAACACTTGAGCCGGGTGAGAATTTTTGATCCTGCGACCCTAGTTCTTCTACTAGTTCTGCTTTGTCTCGATCGATTATCCACAGATCATGATGTGTCTCTCTTCCGGCAACATCTTCATCTTGCTGCTCTTTGAGTACCAGTAGCTTAGAGTACTCATCAAGGACGTCGCAGCATTCGCTGCTTACTTCCTCCGCCGCGGGCACATCGCCTAGGACGATTGTTCTGCTGTGCTGTTCCTTCATATGCTGCCATTCTAGTCGCCTATGCAAGAGTCTGAGATATTCCTGGACCTCCAGCTCGGATTTCGTACCAATCGCACTAGCTATATCGCGGATACCATCCCTCCCTTTTCTGTCAAGGATGTTGAAGAGTATTTCCTTCTCTTTCGGCGCCCAAGACACGATTCCGGCTTGGGTAGATTGGTAGTTTCCGCTGCCGGGCTTCGATTCGACGGATGCGTAGTCGCCAGTCGTTTGCGTGAGTAGATTAGAAT